GCTGTTAGTGTGCTCTGATTGAATCTAGGTGTCTTGTCACTATTGGTACAATCTCATCTTTAAATGATGCCTCTTCACTATTCGTTCAGGTCTTATATAAACATTACTGAGATAAGGAAAGGGGAGATCTGGCTGCAAAGAAGATATTATGAGAGGAGCTAGATAGGATCCTCAAAAAGGAGGTGAGTAGCTCATCAAATGATTAAATGTATGTTTTTACTAACATTTAATCATCTAGCTTCATCGTCAACCCAAGGCATCCTAGGTCTTGGTGGACACGGACTCTCTGACAGTGAGGATAATTCCTCTAAATGAGAAAATTTACCATCTGTTGATGAGAAGCAGCCTGAGCCACGTGATGTTGTCAAACCTCACAAATAAAAGCTTTGTAAGTTTTGGCTGTTTCCGATATTTAAATTAATCTTAATTGATTTAGGATTTACTGCCAATGATGCACCTATCAAGTGCAAAGAGTGGACAGAGGCTATTCAGTTGTATTTTTTCAAATGCCAGGATTTAACTATCAATTCTTTAATTCGATTTTAACCAAGTGACTAAAATATGCCAACAGCCAACTCAGCTTCAGCTTGCAGAGGCAAAGGCAGTCGACACTCTTGTTGAGGTCCATCTTGTAGGTGCATCCACATACTAATCTACATTTTGGCCAATTGAGGTCAATGTATGTGATTCACTGATTTTTATATCATCTATATAATTGATTGCCAATAGAAATCTTCCCTCTACCAGATGCTCTGCACAATCTGTGCACCAGACACTATGCTTGAGCTATCTACTAATCATCTTGCAGCAAGCTCATATAAGTATCAATGAGCAGCAAGTTTTGGTCTGATTTTGTACCAATGGACCAATTCAAGCACTTTTACAAACCCTCCACCAGAGGTATGAGGATATGTTTGTTAATGAAATTCATTCTACTCACTGCTATCAGTCCAAGTCTCTTAAAACCACTAGTGGGCAGTTTTTTGGTAAGCTGTTTATGCAATGGCTTGATGCTATCAACCAGCAGGGTAGAGCCATTCCTGCTGCCAGTCAGCCTTCATGTGTTGGTTTTCTTCTTGATGAGGCTGCATTTGTTGCTGCATGCAACACCTGGCTGTATGCTAGTCTTGTGAAGCAAGGGCCCATCAGGAAAGTCTATCATTGTATTTTTGATGATTTTTAGTCTAATGTGTCACCAGGTGGACTTTGACCCTGCCAAGCTGTATCATGGGTGGTCTCTAAAACCAAATTCGACCTTACTTGATTTCAGTCTACTCAGTTGCGCTGCATCACTGAAGAACCATCATATCCAAAGCATTTTTCAAATATATACAGAATGAGGCATTTGAAAAAGGTATTAAAGTTTCAGAGCAGCCTTAGAAGAATATTTCTTCTGAACCTTAGAGAAGTAACCTGCACTGCTCTGCTCAAGACTTTGTCCCTCCACAGTCTGAATATCCTCTCCCTCCTCCTTCTTTCATCTCAAACCCTTCTGACTTCATGTCCAATACTCACTCATCTTGTAATAAATGCTCAGCTCTACCTACTTCTGAGCACTATGCATTGCTTCTTGATGTTTGAAGACACACTGATGTCCAGGACTTGTTTGGATCATGGTTATCTGTGCCCCTTGGTCAGCTTATACACTACAGAGGCTACATTGACTCACAGTCCTCGTTGGTAAAGATCATCCGAGAATTTATTGATATTATTGGGGTGCATTCTCCTGGCATCCAAGAGTGCATCATAGATGCCTTGCTCTATGTGTGAGGACATGTCACCTCCAAATTTCAAGACATTGCCTGCATTGCCTGATCGCTACAGGCGGCCTTCGACACAATGATCTATTGCGCAGCATGTCTAATAGGTCATCAGTGAATGTTCACGATATTGTATTATACTTACCAATGTTGCTGACATTGTGAGCATGTGGTCAGGTATTGTGGTAATCTTCCGACTGAAAGAATCATTGTAGATCAGTGACAGTGGGTTGTCATATCATCCATCAAGGTGCATTCCAATTAATCCTGGGTGTCCAAAAAGGACAATGTCCCCAGTTGTGGGGTCGCGACAGTTAAGAAAGTAGTTAGTGAAGTTGGTTCAGCTCGTGTTGTAAAGCACAACCCGCCAATCCATCATGAATTTTTGACGGTCCTCATCCGACAGGGAAGCATCTGGAGGGTCCAGCCCATAACAGTGCACGTGACCCTCGGAGATTGGGGTGAGTTGCCCATGCACAGTGGGGAGCTCCTGGCTTACCAACAATATGGTGTCATCTGTTACTTCTTGTTATGACTTGGATAGTTCTTGTGTAACTGATCCAATAAAGGAGTTCAAATGTTATGACTTTTGGTTCAGACATCTGAAGGTCTTTCCTTCTAGCTGAAGTTTGAGTATAGACTAGTTTCTTCCTTAGAAGATGATCAAGTATCAGAGAGAACTAAGTAGATTCAAGTTAAGGAAATAATACTTGTTAACATTTTTACAGGCGATCAACAATGTCAATGATCTTGAAGTGAACCTCGTTACCTTGCAAGGGCCAGACGGGATGTATTCAATGCAGAGAAGGTGCTTGCTGACTGCGTGGTCCGTGAACACAAAGTCATAGCAAATCTCTCGAAGCACAAATCCGACATTTCAAAGCAAAAACTCACCAAGGCAGACGTAGGTAAAAAAACATGGGTTTTCTCATCACAGACCCACACCGAGTTTGCAAGGTAAGTTCTTTCAATTACATACTATACCTCACAGTGCCACTAATATTACACTTTTAGAATCATTGGGATGCCATCACATCATGGTCCAGGCTGCAGCTAGATTGACATTGAGATACCTCAAATCACATCTATTTACTACTGTTATACCACCTATATGTACATAGATACAACTTCGAATGTAATGTGGGATAGCTGTTGTTTTATTGTAATGATTATCTTGCATGCACGCTTGGTGCGCATTTGAATTTGCTCCGACTCCAGTCGTTTGGACTTAGCGAAAATTTTGAGCATTGAAATTGAATCATATTGAAGTACTACTACTATTGGGATATACACTATATAATTTGAATTGTGCTGCAAAGTGCTGTGGGCCATATAGAACTGTATGACTGGATACCTTGTGGTACGAGTGAGCTGGGACATTGGGAGAACTGTGGAGTCTGTGGCTGGCTGCACAAGAGCCCAGATTTTGTGCTCGCTGTGGGAAAAGTTGTAGTTTACTGATGAAATCATCTACCCGCCAGTAAGTTCACAATCAGTTTAAGATGATGTGTTGTCCTGATGAGGTGCAGAAAATTCATCATCTGCTACTAGTACTACAGTCGAAGCCACTGGGGGCCACCTCCTCACGGTCCAGCTTGATTGACCAACTGAATTATCTCTAAGTCGCTTCACGTTTTCCATACTACCCATGTTATTATGATGTGTCTTGTGCCTGGCAGTACTACTATGCTTACATGAATTCTCTGGTACATACTAGTATACTACATGTAGACGCTCATATGTTCGAATACTTATTATGTTTGATGTTATCTGTATCACAAACTTCTGAATGTCTGAGCCGAAGTGCATTCAATTAACACTAGTACTACTACTTTACTGCAACTTTCAAATGCAACTTTGAGGCCTGTGAACCATGGAGAACTGTGGGTGATTGTAGTGAATGTATACCTTGCAACCGCTGTTTGCTGTGATCCTGGCGGAACTGTGAGTGAATGTAGTGAATGTATATCTTGCAGCCACTGTTTGCTGTGATCCTGGCGGAACTGTGAGGTCTGCGGCTGGCTGTCGTGAGAACATAAATTTCACACTTTCTGTGGAGAAAGTTGTGGTTTGCTGATGTGGCAATTTTCTTGGATGCTGCTTCCAATACTTCATACCTGATTTCCATTCCTCCGAGGACTTTGGTTTGCTTGTCAACCAAGCAAGAAGAGGCAATGATGGTGTGGACAATGTTGAGGTTGATGCATTCACCAATTTCCGTCCAAACACTTTTATGGAACTCAGGTCCAAACTTGTGATACATGAGGTATCGCTGAACCTCCTTCAGGTCTCGCAACCAATTTTTGAGAATCTCATTGGTTCGTTCAAGACTAGGTGAGAGTGGTTGGAACTTCCTGCATTTAACTGCAGCGTTGATAGATGAATAGTCGAGCTTGGATCGCTTGCGAGAAGGTTCTCCTGGCTTGTCAGATCCTGCTCTACTCCTATCCTCTGGTAAAGGCTTCTTCGTCAACATATGCTGGTTCATTCGAGTGTGTTGTTTGTCCCCTTGTTGAGCTATCAGTGGCTCATGCAAGTTCTGATTCAACTTCATCAAGCATGGCAAGGTAGGGTCCAGTGACAGGGGTAGCGAATAAATGTCCTGATGAACATGATGATTACCTCAAGCTTGGTAACATGTGAGCATCTGTAGTCATTGACGATGGCAATATAAGCCGTTGCCAAGATTTGTTGGGATGAATCTGGTCCATTAGAGTCGGTCTAGGGTGTATTCCCCGCCATTCCTAGTCCTCTAAGTGGTCCTAAAGACTGCATTTGGGACGATGAGGTGGCATTGTTTGCTTCTGCGGACATGTGTAGTATGAAGAATGATCAATGGAAGATTCAATTGAGTAGCTTAAAATTGCAGTCGTGCGCGAGCAGCACCTGTGACTCCCACGTGAGGACTCTAGTTAGATGTGCTAATAGATAGTGTTATCGCCTCTAAGGCGACACAAATATGTCAGCTGCAAGCCTCCTTCAATATCTCCTCGATAAATAAGGACGTACAACAAGAAAGAGTAGCTATAGTCTATAGATAGAGTATTGAGCATGGGATGTCGTTGTTACTGTTACTGAAGTGTGGCTAAGCCTGCCCGCTACCCGAAGCTTTGTGCTCACCGTCTCGCACAATGAGCTTGTATATCTCGTGTCAAACTGCATGGATTGAGGGCGCATTTTGATAGCAAGTATAATGGTAAGTGACATGGTTCATCAGGACACTATGACTGATCTATACTACTACTCCAAGTCAGCATGGTCAGAAAGTTCAAGCCGTGAAAGGTCTTGAGTAATGAACAGGACATCCTGCAGCCTTCTCGAGGCCTCCTCTGCTATCTCATCCTCCACCTCCTCCTCCTCCTCCTCCTCCTCCTCAAGGTCCTCTAATGTATCTACAGGATATGGAGGGTTACATGCAGAGATGTAGTTAGCATGCTTGTTGGCAGGGACTCGTGCGGCTGGTACACTGGCACTCGGTTCTGCTGAAGCCGGAGAGCTGAGATATATCTTGAAGCCACTTCAAGTGGTGTGAGTTAAACCGGCCTCAAATGTTGCGCACAATGGAAATTTGATGGGCGAGACCTGGGTTAGTATTCTTCAGCTGCTCCTCAGACATCCGTAGATAATTATCTTCATCGTGAATATATGTCACAAGGCGACAGACCTCAATATTCAACCGAAAAATTTCCTCTTGTGCGTGACAGATCTTGAAGTGAAGGTCCATCGCACTGCGAGCTGCAGGTGAAGACCAAAGGGATTGAGAAATGTCTGCACGTGCATCACGCAGCAGATCAAAGTCTGCCAGGAATGCGTAATCAACGACCTCCTCCCACTTGAGCATTTTACGAGGAGGCGACATCACGCTGGCAACAGCATTATACAGTGGCTCAAAAAAGTGTCCGGATGTTTGTGTGATTTTGAGTAATTGTATCATAGCAAGCCAGCACCTAAATATAACATATTGGTATAGGGACATGTCTGAAAGCCCTACATCATGGCTCGAATCTGAGCTATGTAGCGTGGGAACAAACCCTTATATGGGCGAGATATGGTAATTCTATTCTTATGATTCATTCGGACACTTTTTTGACTTTATATTAAAATCACAAAATGAGACCATTCATACATAATAATCTTAATAAAAGTGGTACCATAATAATAATATGGTCTGATTTTAATATTATTTAAATATATAAACCCACTTAAAATCATAAAATTTAACATACTCATCATAAAGCCCATCTCCTCCGCTCAAAAGGATAATATCCTTGTTCTCTCTACCTCTGGTTTATCTATCAGGAATATTGCTTCCAAAACTGGTCTTGGCAAGTCTACTATTGCTACAGTTATAAAGAAGAACATACCAGATAAGGAAAATGTCAGAATGGGATGTCCTCCTAAGCTTACCCCACTAAACAACAGAGCTGTTGTTCATCAAATTCTGTCTGGCAAGGCTTCAAATGCTGTGTAAGCCACCAAGTTCATCAATTCCATTATCTCTACTCCTGTCTCCATCCAAACAATCAGAAACACCCTCAAGGCAGCCAACCTTAAGGCTGTAACCAAGAAGAAAAAACCTCTTCTCTCAGCAGCTCATAGGAAGAGAAGACTGGCCTTTGCTTTAAAGCACCAACATTGAACTGTAGAAGACTAAAAGAAGGTTATTTGGTCAGATGAAACAAAAATCAATAGAATGGGGTCAGATGATCAGGAATATGTGTGGAAAAGCAGGAGAACCCCTAGGAGAAAGAGAAGTTAGGGGTACACTGAAGTTTGGAGGAGGAAGTATGATGGTATGGGGCTGCATGGGGTGGAATGGTGTTGGGATTCTCTGTGAGGTGGAGGGAAGGATGAATGCAGAGCAGTATATCTCCATCCTAGAGGAGTGTCTACTCAAAAGCATGCAGGAGTCAGAAATTGATGAAGAAGACATTATCTTTCAACAAGATAATGACCCCAAGCATACCTCCAAGCTGGCCACAAAATGGTTTGAAGACCATGACATCAATGTTTTATTATGGCCAGCACAGTCTCCAGACCTTAATCCCATTGAACATCTCTGGGAATTACTCAAGAGACTACTTGCTGCCTATCAAGATCCTCCAAAAGGGCAATTTGAACTATGGGAGAGAGTTGCAGTAGAATGGGCAAAAATTGCCAAAGAGGAGTGTCAGAAATTGATAGAAAGTATGCCTAGAAGGGTTGCAGCAGTTATTAAAGCCAAGGGGGGCAACACAAAGTACTAGAATCATACAATAAAATTGATTTAACACAAAGTCAAAAAAGTGTCCGAATGAATCATAAGAATAGAATTACCATATCTCGCCCATATAAGGGTTTGTTCCCACGCTACATAGCTCAGATTCGAGCCATGATGTAGGGCTTTCAGACATGTCCCTATACCAATATGTTATATTTAGGTGCTGGCTTGCTATGATCCAATTACTCAAAATCACACAAACATCCGGACACTTTTTTGAGCCACTGTATGTGCTGAGAGTGGATCTGATGGCGACCAAATGTGTCTGCAATGCCTTCGCAATATGCTTGTGTAGTTTGTAACATTAAGAAATATTGTAATTGGCCGCATGGAGAGACGAAATCATCAAAACTCACCTGTCCCTGCCCTGTTCATCTTTGTAAGCTCAAAGATATGTGCAACTATCAACCCTTCCAAACAGTCCAGAGCACACTGATACTTTCGGTTAACCACGAGCCTCCTGCCCTCTGCCACTCTGTATCCTCCGGAACCCAGTGTGTGACGATCTTGAGTTTGCACTCTAGTGCTTGCACCAATCTCATATTCTTGTTGTAGTCCTCAAGTGCGTGATGTTGTGCACTCTCGGCCTTCCACGTATTTCAAGTCTGTGAGTCATATGACACGGTATCATGGTGAGAAGGTGTTTGGCACACGGCTGTTGCTGCCCGAAGAGCAAGACTATGGGGGCGTCAGTAACCAAATATACATTACATACATCAAAGACTCACGTGTTTGCATTGAGGTTAACCAATCTCTGCCAGTACTCCATTTGGAGTGTTTCTTCGCCAGGCTCTTGTGTGAGACCTTTAAGATAGGCTTTCTCTTCTTCTAGCCACAGTTCAAAAATGCTCGTGTCCACGACTCCGATATCCTGCATGAGTTTGGGTAGTACAGCATTACCATCTGCCAAGATGTCGATAGCCTGTCTGTAGTTACTGTACAAAAAGTTCGCTAGCCACGTAATTGTGATGTCATTCATTGTTCGCACAATAAAATTAAATAAACTTACAAAGATTTGTGTAAACCCCGAAGTTGTCATTGTGTTCAAAATATGAATCAATGGATTGTTGGCGATAAAAGACACTGGCGTAACGGAGAGACGACGCGAGAGAATTTGACTTTGAGAATGTCCGCTCACATGTCTCTAAATCCTCAATTCCAAGACCCTTAATATATGTTGTCAGCGAAACAAGCTGACACAGGCGTCTGTGGGCATATCCGTGGAATGCACCGACAAGACAAGTATGGTTTAGTGAGCGCGCAAGAGGTCCGAGGGTCCTGTTATTGAGTGTCGTCTTGAACTGACAGCCGATATCATACCTGCCCCCCAAATTGCCACCAAACACATCCAGTAACTTAGCAACAACAGCTAAAGGGTATTTTGCGCTGTAAGGACATCAGTCAGGAACACAAAAAGTAGATAACATACACTCACAGTTCCCCGCTCTGCACCATGTCTGCAATAAGCAGACAAAAGCTGTGGCGGCAGACAGCCACAAAGATACCGGTTTCATCGTCGATCCCCCAAGCTTTATTTGTCCTTGCAGTATCCATGTTTCCCAATGGCCTTCACACAAGTCATCTACAGGTGCATCCTGACAGACATTCAGTTATCGCTACCTAAGTTTTGTTGAGTATTTGCCTTGTCACTTGAAGTACACACTAAGTCGCAAGTGAAGTTGTCCACAAAGTTGAGAGACAAGTAACAATCACTTTTGAGTGATTGGCCAGTAGGAACTTCCGAAGACGCACCAAGAGTATCGTCTTTGTTGGCCAGAGATCGTCGGAGAACTCACTTTAGGGAGTCGTTGCCATCCATGGCATAGAGCATCGTGAAGGTTAAGTCCTCTGTGTTCGTCAGCACGTAGGTACAAGCGGGACAGGCATGTCGAAGGCACCAGTGGGGTGAGTCACGGCCAAGTGATTCCATTACCATTGTGTCTGTGTTCCGTCTAATTTCGAGGTACAGGTCGAACAAGATTGAAAACTGGCGTGATAAGTGTCTGTGAAAGTCAACCTGCATGTATTTAGCACTGAATAGAAAGAATGAACAAGTGATGTACATACCCCGTGTAGATCACAAATGGTTTTTAAAAATGCCTGAATGGATAGGTGAGGACATCTTAGGTGTGCCATGTGATAGATTTCGAGAGCCTCAGTGGTTATGCCCACCATGGGCGATATCGGAGAACAGGGTAAAATGCCTTGACGTACGAGTGCAGATGCAACAGTGCTGTCTGTTGATGATATTTTAAGCATGACTTTCTCAGCAACTAAATAATGAGTAAGCAAACATCAAAGTCACAACTTGAAATCAATCATTCCTTACAAAACACATATACAATAGTCATTGACCACTTATCAACTGCTTCGTTAGTACCACTCTCTTCACTGCACAATTGATCGAAGAAACTCCTGAAACCCATCTGTGATTTTTCTAGGCACCACTCAAGGTAAGCTTCGGTCATAGCTGGAATCTGCTCACTGAACGCAATATTCCTGCATAGAACACGATCCCGACGTGTGCGATTATCGACTCATCGGACACTTCGAAAACTATCCTGCCTGTACTATATGCATCAGTGAGTGATTGTCTGTAAGTATCAATACTCACACTTTCCAGACATCTCCCAGAACTCCTCTTGCTAGGTCATCAAACTCCCCACCAGCATGACTGATGGGGAGCATATCAGTGCCATTCAAGATCTCACCAAAACCGAAGTCGTCCAAATTTTCGGTCCCAGGGAGGAAGGCGGGGCTGAGCCTTATGTTTTTGAGAGCTCGTCGCTCATCAGCAGTCATTGCTATACATAATGTTAGTATTCCTGTTTCACACTATTTTTATAATACTAAGACTCACCTTGTAAACGAACCTCCCATCGCTCTTTGCAAGTAGCCACCTGTTGGACCAATGCCCTGTGCTTCAGCACCTTCGAGGCGTGGACAACAGGCAAGCCACTCTTATCTCACAAAGACCCAACATGCTGAATCGAACACAAGGACAACTTGGTGTGAACTCGCACAGTTTGAGGTTTTCGCATCTATGGTTTGCAAGTATTCAGATACAAAGGTATGTATCTCCACGTGACATGGGCTAGAAATGTGGTATGTGGTTCCAAAGGACGAGGAACACATGACTAATCAATGCTACAGTCTTTCCCGCCTTCTACTACTTATCACTATCAGGTTTTGCAAGATGTCATCACGCAGTTCATTGCCGTCTGCCATCTCCCATGATCACCATATCCAAGACTTGCGTGGTTTACTTGAAGGAATGACGCTATCCGGTATGTAAATATCTCGTGCAATGTTAGCCATCTGCTGATGTTCAAATATAGATTCATCGCCAGATACCATTACTTGGAGCTGGAAGACTGTCACCGAGTCTATCACACTGTCCAGATCACACTCACACTCGCACTCGCACTCACACTTGCACTTGCACACCTCACACCTCACTGATGGTTCTCCCCTCAGAAAAACAACTTCAGTACACTCTTTGTCACCCGAAAGCCCTCCACCATCGCAAACACAATCTTCCATAGTCACACTTCCTTCTGTGCCGGATACACAGTTCCCCTTCTATGGTGTTGTCATTGAGATCCAAGCGCCGCATGCAGGAATTGACCCGGAAGGTTTCTGTGTCGTCACTGTGGGACAAGAAGTAGGAATCTTCTACATCTGGTAAGTATTCTTGACCTTCACTTTCAATATCATTAACAGTTGTTAAAGGGCCGATGTCGCTGTACGAACCAATTCCCTGGTGGACCTTTCTGGCTGTCTCCGCCTTCGCCCACCTCGTCCTCCACATCAGATGACCTGTGGTCACAGGTGGAGGACTTGTTGGGTACCATGAGTAACTGCAAGCTATAAATACCTTCGTAGTTTGATCTGTTCTTAGTGCTTGGAGCTTGTAGATATGATTATCAGGTAACAGAATGTGGATGTTGAGCTCTATGTAGTTATGTATGCTTGTAATACAAATGTTGTTGTGGTGCAACTGCATCTTATCAGCTGTTTAACGAATTGTATCAGAGGTGCATTGTTGTAAGCCTTAGTATGTATCCCTAAGTACTATTACAGAACTGTTAGTGTTAGTCACATGTTTCTTTGTATGATACAATCATTGTTAAAAGTATATCCTTGATGGCGCTCACAGCATATTGTGACTACTTCAATATAAGAAACATAAACTTTGGAAACAGATGGCTGGTGAGGAAGTTTGCAATTCTATAGATACCAACATGTTCATCAGAAGTCCCACTCAAGTTCACTATTGATTCGCCATCATTCGCCATTGATTCGCTATCATTCGCTATTGATCCGCTAAAATTTGCTATACATTTGCCATCGTTCGCTATACATTCGCTACTATTTGCAACAGGTTCGCTATCTGTGTTCGCTACTGTGCACCATTCCCGACACCCACGAAGTCTGTCAGCAGGAAATGGTCTTGTTTCCTACAACATTGGCTGTGGGACAGCTTATATTAGTGTCGGACTTGTGTAATCTGAAACAATCCATCATGTCCATGCCTTACATAGAATAGATTGTTGTGTCCTATACGTCCTCGACATCACCTTGTTCTTTGGACTTTGTTAGAGATGGATGATTTGCTTCGTTGCATGTGCTGTGTTACTCTCCATACTTTATCTGACGCAATTCACAGTTCGCCTCTGTGGGACTGGGCCACTATTCATGCACGTTCACACTCCTGGACATTGAACAGTGTGATCTCTCATGTCCGTGCTCGAGTGTCATATTTCCAAGTGGTGGGACCTACAGTGTTGAGTGATATCTGTTTCATGCATGCACCTTACTCTAATTTGTACTCAGTATATGTGTCCAATAAGATTGCACACATTTTGCAGATTGAATATGGTTATGCGGTGGTTAACACTTGGTAGTGTCGTGATCCGGACCCGCAGTCAGTTCAATGCAAGTGTTCTCAACGTGAACATAAACAGGTGGAAGTGGCTGTGGGTGTTGCTCAGACTATTGAATGAGAGAGCCAATGGCCTATACAGGTACCCACATGTACTGTCATTGAGTGCGGTGTCAGGAACTGGCGCGTATGCGGCGCTACGATCCTGTTTAATTGTGTTTGAAGCTCTTGATGCTAAGTAAGTCTCAGTATTGATTCAATATACTATACAGTCACAGGATTCATTGTATACTACTGGTATATACACTAACTTCGAGGAATTTGACTTCAGCGGTGACATGAACGAGAAGATCATGCAATATAATGATATCATACTTAAGACACTCCCCGCAACACGCACAATTCATGTGCACAACTTCTCTGATGCTGTCTAGTATTGCCCTCCCCTCCCTAACATGAGCATCACAGTCATCAAGGAAAGCGGTTGTCACTCGCTCCCCCCTTTTCTGCGCAAATGTGAATGCTTCTCCGTACACCTTGTTCCAAGTGGCTTCCGAGTCGAATTTCCACTCCTTTTGCCAACCATTGACTATCATGGCAATAGTTTGCAGGGTTTGAACATCGCATGAGCAAGGAATGTTGTTCTCCATTGTTAGTACAGAGTCATTGAGTTCAGGAGTGACACAACGAAAGCTGAGTGTGGGCGGTGTCTCGGCTTGATTTTTTTTCTTCTGTTGAAATGGTCTGTGAGAAATATGATATGAAAGTATGCACAAAGAATCTCACCCTTCCCATTTGCTGAAAATTATTTTGAATGCTAGCACTAGTAGAGCGAGAGATTAAGTGTACTGACTGTGCCATTCGTACATGCACTTTTGCGTTTTGTGCATCTCGAACTCTGCAATGACAGGTAAGCAGGAGCCTCAATGGACTGACTTCAACTTCAACTCACCCTGGCTTTGCAAACCAGCGCTCTGTGGCAACGCACTGCTTGGAGGTCTGAGGCTTCATTTTTTACTACTTGTAATGTCTTTCCAACTTGATATGACGGTATGTAGCATTGATGCCGATGATTTTTAAAGAAGGTTCCATTGGCATCACAAAACAATGTGTTTGTTCAAAACCATTTTTAATTTGTAGGTTCCTTGACACCATTTTTTCTCTGGACCATTTTTCAAGTTGTGTCAACTCCTTCCTGCGCTGACAAGTATGAGCTACAGTCACTTGGAATGTGACTTCAATATCAATGGAAACCTCATTGGCAGCGGAGGTCCTCAACTTCATATGGGACCATTCAACACAAATGAAGGTACGTGATTGATTCCTGGTCTTCTCCGCATCTAACGACTCTACAAAATAGCATCAAGCTCCAATGTTACGACGACCATGTCTCAACGGCCAGCAATGGCAACGCTGTTGTTGAATATTCAGCCACCCTTCACAACATCGACTGGGGGAACCCTTCATTATTTATGATGCCACTGACAAGTGATAAACTAGGAGCCATCAACGACACAGTCTCACCACAAACTCACAATCGTGTTGCTACTCTGTCACCTGCTGCAAGTCAATTTATGCTTCCCTCTCGCACACCATCGCCTATTGCCAGAAACTCAATGTCAGTGCTTCGAGATGTGAACACATCCACATGGGCAGCGCGTAATCCAACACATTCAACAATTCGCTGCAGGACTCCGCCACCTAAAATATCTGAAGCTCGGAAAGTTTCTTGCAAATCAAGAGGGACCAGAAGATCGAGTTGACGAAGCTCATACATAATGCAGTCACTGTGCACCTGGATGAAGAGAAGACAAGAATTCAGTCACTCGCACATTGTCATATTCCGTACCTGAAGCTTCTCGTCTGGTCCGGTCCGTCCGTTCTCTCGGTTCCGTTCTAGAATTCATTTCCCCGTGTCCCCATTTGTATATGCTTCTTGATGCCCCTATACGCCTGGATCCTTCTGACAGTTAATATCCGGGTTCATTCTGATCTGTCTGTTAGTTTATTCATTTCCCTTTCATTTAACTTGTCCCCCCTGTTTCATTTAATCTCCGGCTCCATTCTCGATCGTCCGCAGCAGTTCATATCCGTTAGTACATTTTCTACATAGCCCTCTGATCCAAAGACTGCGCTTCGGCCAGAAACCCGTCGGATACACTACAGTATATAAACCCTTTGTAACCCGTAGTATTTCCTCAGTTCGAATATTAACTTAGACTCTGTTCAATCCTCGTGTCCTCTCGGCTCTTAGGATTATTATCCTAGTCCAATCCTCCGAGCCTCGGGATTATATCCCTAAGGCTAAATACCTCTGCCTCTACCTTCAGGTAGTCTATACCTTGTTAGTTTCTACCCGGACGAAGTCTCGGGTAGTCTTCCCTCTTTCGTCCGGCCCGTCCATACCCCTCTCTCTCTCGTCTGGCCTGTCTATACCCTTCGGCCGACGATATCTAACCCCCTGTAAATTAGGGGCACGTACTCGGGTAAAGAGCGCAGCGCACAAGCTGAAGCTAAGCCCCTCCAGTCCGACCCGTTGGACACAGTCTTAACACACATGCTCACAATGTGACATCAAAGTATATTAACGACATGATCAGTAGTCAGACAAAGTATCATGGCTCACGCAAGGCACAATTAGCTAATGCTCTCCTTCATGCCAAGGCCAAAGAGATGAATTCCGGTGAGTCAAATCTGTTTACTTCGGCCAATGGAAATTGATCTTCAAATTTGTCATAACCAGACCAACCTGTTGGCTTGTGATACAAGATCGTCGAGTTGCACGAGATGATCATGAATGATCCGGAGATGAACAATCTGACCAAGAACGAAAAGGCGGGTTATATTGTGGCTCTCCATGAGCACCGTGATCAAAAGGTAAGTCATGTGCAAGGAAACAATATGGCTGCCACATGAGATGTTCTGCTCACAACAGAAAAGATTGTCAAAGAGGTGCGCTCTGTTTGACATTACTTGTATTTCACTCAGGTCCTTTTCCATGGCATTAAAGCTCGACAACTTGCGTATTCGCACTGGCACCTATGCCACTCTATTCGTTATTCGCAGTCACATCAACGACACAATCCAGAGTACTATGCATGGTACAGATAATTCAGATGATTTCTGGGAAAATGTATATGACCTTCCAATGGCCGACTTCCTCCGGCAGTACAAACAATCGGCTTGCACGCAAAATCAAAGTAAGTGTTCATCTGTTTGCATGTTTACTGTTCCTATTAAATTACCTGCCGTAGATCTTATAGAGCACAACTCATTGGAGGCCGTGCGCAAACAGGTCTGAAAACTCATTGTCCATGGACTTGGTACGACACTTCATTAACTTGGTTGTGTGATACCCATCTAATGTCTTTGACAGTCGCTGTGACCGGGAAAAAAGACATTGCAATGAATTACAACAACTACAACACGGCAATCATCGAAACATATGCAGCTCAGCTTGTAGGTTGGCCCCCAGGTATCAACTTCATCAGCCCATCGAATATCGGGACTGTTGGTGAGATCTGGAGGATTTGTGATGCCTCAAAGGCCTGGACATGCTACTGGATCACGCTGACGCCTGCGGAAGTTAAAACCCACACCGCCAACCTCAATGAGCACCGTTCAGCGGGGGAAATCATTAGGAAGCCATGCAAAAAGTGTTCAGATGCCGGCACTTCTCGCAAATGCAAGGCTCCATCAACCGTGGGTCACACAAACAAGCAGACCAAATGTTCGTCAAAGAAGGCCAAGAAGAACTCTGACCAGGATCATAAGGTTCCCAAAAGTGTAGAGTTCATTGTCTCATCTGACGAGGAAGAGATTGAGGACTTGTAGAGTATTCTTATACAATGTTTGTTAGGATGTTGTACATACCATCAGTAGCAGTTAATGTATCAAAACGCACCCTCAATCCATGCAGTTTGATGCGAGATATACGAGCTCATTGTGCGAGACAGCAAGCACAAAGCTTCGGGTAGCGGGCGGACTTAGCCAAACATCAGTAACAGTAACAACGACATCCCATGCTTAATTACTCTATCTATAGACTCGCAAGGGCCCTCTGGGCATACCTGTACCCTTTGTTTGTTGTGTCATCTGTCGTTTAACGACTCTAACTCCCAAGCGCATCGGAGAGGTGAGTGAAAAAGAAGGTAATCTCTACCTCATTATCATCACCATCTCAATTGTTTTCTACTGGGATTGACTCAAGCCCTCCTTTTCACAATGTCGGACTGCAATGGAAATATTTATTTATATTGAACATATGCATGTTAGAAATACATATAGTTTAGCTTGATATACATGTACACAAAGCAGATCACGAACACGATCCTTTCGATCAGATTAAGACACATAAATGAAATGTGCACTCGCGATCTCAGTGTATTGCTTATGATTAAGCATCGGAAAATTATCCACAATCAACCTGAGGTGCGGTGCCACCACAGGCAACAATACACCGGCAGGATATTGATTACACATAGGCAAACGCTCGTGAGAGACCTTGAAAAACCCAAAGAACCTGTGCAAAACACACGACAACACAACAGATGTCCCGTCATCTGGAAGCTCATGATCGGAAATCACATATGACACATGTGGAAGGAGAGATGCAGCTTGATTAACGCCAGAGGCAGAACCGGAAGCCATAACAATGAAGGCGAGAAAGAGAACTACAACGAAGAAGACAGGAGAACAACCATGTCAAATAACACATTCTGGAGGTTCAATGAATGCTGACAAATTTTCTGAATCAGGATGAGAAACGGACCACCTTGGCTCTTGTGCGGGCCGGTATGATCGTGCTCATGGAGAAATTTTACCCCATACCTGTACCCTCTTCTAGGGTACAGGAACTATAGCTACTCTGTCTAGTGATGTGCAAAGCCCGGCTTCAGGCCGTGGGCCGAGCCAAGCCGAGCCCATTTAGGCCGAGCCAAGCCGAGCCTTGAGGACGGCCCATAAGGGCTCAAGGCCCGGCTCAAGGTATCTGTAAGCCTGAGCCGGGCCCTCGAGCCACGGCTTTCAATGGGTGTATCAGATCATAGTTGAGTATTTGTGTACTTCCCTTTTGTGTTGGCATACCGGTACTGAATAAATTTTCACCTCCGTTGCTTACATAATCATCAGAATCGTCACAGTTCCGACAAGGAATGACTATCACTGCATTTTGCCCTTGAATTGACAAAGTTTGACTAGACGGGTGAGATACAGCAACACCAGCGCAACCAAGCCATCAACTGGTCTATGTTGGCTCAGCGTGCACGTGGAACATCAACACGAGGGGGATCTCGCGCTCCCACTAGAGCACCTATCTTCCAGCGTGGGTGTGGTCTCTCGCGGCCACCAGTCTCAGCTCCTGCAGTCCATGTACTGCCTTCCCTGTGTATGCTCTCGCTAGCACACAGCGCGAATCCTTGAAAAGCTTTGGTGATGCTGCATGCAGATGTGCTTGTAGAGAAGTACATCGAACGTCCCAGACATGTTGAAGTGCAGGTATTTGCGGATACGCTTGGGAACACCGTGAACACTACGAAGACCTTTTCCCAGCTGTCGAAAGTCCCTCAGCTGAGTTAATGGCACAAGCAGCATTGTTTGTTGCACTACAAGAGTATCTGATTCAGTCTACAAGCCTTGCGACGCCGTGGCCAACGCTGACTTCAAGGCGCTTTGGCGGAGACGTTTATGAGCGTACCATTTCCATCCAGCCCTATGTTGTATCCGCAGAGCCCACCCGAGTTTCTCTCAAATCCATCTCTTCAGGCCACTTTGACGTAGCTGTTCACTCTGCCGCACCAAAGACATTGACAGGTGTCTCAGCACGCCTGGTTTCACCTACAACATTGAGCACAACACTTAATGGAGCTTCGACCGAAATAACGATTGTGTCGCAGCGCCCTGCTCCTTCCCTTCCTGCCGTCACGCGCAACGAACACCATGGAACGCCTACACGTGTTCTCAGCGTCGGGAACCAAGACTATGTTGGCTGTCGCCAGGCCATCATGTCATATTAGTGCATTAAATCATTGTAGTTACAAGACTAATGTAGTGCATTAAACATTGTAACTATCAGTGCACCAATCACTTACATAATATCTAATAATAACTAAACCTCCAAGGCAGAATATAATCCTAGCTAATCCTAACTAACTGAACCACTAACCACTAACCACTGACTACTAACCCTCTAACCACTAACCACTAACCACTAACCACTAACCACTAGCCATTAACCCTCTAACCCTCTAAAAACTAACATCTAACATCTAACCCTCTAACCGCTCTAACCGCTCTAACTAAGATTAAAATTTTAATTAATTAGCAATTACAATGATTAATGCACAACTTGTATCTTGTAATTACAATATTAATGCATTATTACCACCTCACCTTGTGCTGTCGCACCTCCTGCATACCTGCTCTCCCTCGGCCAGGATGTCCTCACCGCATACAAGGGTCACACTACTGTCGAGATACGCACCTAGGTTCGTCACACCGTCACATGCCTGGCGAATCGAACCTATTTTGTGTGACAGTCACACCAATTTTGAGGCCGTCGAACCTAAATTGTGACAAGTGGTAAAAACACAAAAAAAAACACCCAGTGCATCCAAAAATCTTTGTACTGCCAGTGAGTGTTCACAAAATGTCTGCACTTGCCATGACCCCCCTCAGCCTCGGAAGTAAAATTAGAGACAAATACACAACTTATGCAAGGAAATATGTCTACCCAATGTTTCACCACGAACCTAAGCGCAGTGTGTCACACGTCACACACCCCCTGCGAACCTTCGAACCTAATGTTCATTTGGTCACACCCAAATAGGGTCGAACCTAGGTGCGTATCTCGACAGTAATCTCTCAATTGTAGTTCATAACACTGCCAGTGGTCATTGTCGATTCCCGAGACCGTTTTGATGTGCAGCCTCCTGCGCAACGACTCGAAGACATTCATCAAACACCACCAGTAGTCAGCCGTCGATTCCCAAAACCATTTTGATGTACCACCCCACCATCTCCCCCAAACCTCATTCCCATCGACCTCGCCACTGGCCCACGTCTCTGCATGTTTGTTTGTGTGCCCTTGTCTGCACTAGTGCTGCCGCAGTCCAGTTCTGAACCTCGGTTCGAACCCGAACTTTTCCGAACCGGACTCAAGGTCCGGTCACAGGTCCGGCATGGCCCCTGGACCGAACCTCCAGACAGGTTCGGGGTTCGGGGTTACCCAGAACCGGTTCGAACGCGTCCGAACCTCTTCGAACTCATTTTTTGTCGTCCTGCCACGTCAACAATTGCCTGCGCTCAAAAACGAATAATGGTCCTACCTGTCATATCCGAGATTGCAGCAACCACTTTGCGACAGGAAATTGACTCAGTTAATCATCAATTCATTCCACCCGACATTCTTGCTACTGTTTGGCCTCCACAAGAAACACAGACCAATGTATTCATTCACCCGCTTAGATCTATTGTTCACGCGCTAACATTATCTTGCAGACTGTTGCCCCTCACAATCCACGCCTTGCTGGTCTACTCAATGTACGTGGTCCCTTAAAACCTTTCTTCTAGTCATTTATACCACTGCATCAATTGTTACAGTGCAATGCAACACCGCGCGTCGAAACATAGCCACGTCACCTTTCACACCCCTTCCCCGCCCGCTAAGACTATCTACAGGGAAGCCCACTATCTTTCGCTACATCCGCCCGTTCCTTCCTTATTCTTTCTGGAGTGCAGTTCCTCCTGTTCGGAATGATCGGCTCGTGACCCTTTGGATGTATGTTCTAGCAGTTAACTCAACTTTTCCCCTTGCAGTTTCCTGCTACACTACCTCTACCTTCCACCAGCTCTCCCTTAGTGCAGTCCACGATTCAAGGGTGTTCACATATGGATCTCCCTGAGAATGTATGTATCAACTGCTGTAACCAACCATTTGACTTACACGCATTTTTCAGTCTCAACCCACATCAATGCCACTCCGGACTGTTCATGCGCTTCATGCTCCACCACCTATTGTTGAACATACGGCTTCGCCGTGTGTCAGATGTATTTTATACCTACCGCCATCCTCCACCATCAAAACATACTATCAACAGGTGAGCAAAGTCAGTGATATTTGCGTTCCGGGTCTTGCTCAAATTATTTTATTTTTTCGATACGGAAAGGTAGCAAGCCCGTCTCCAGATCCAACTCACCTCCCTCATATGATGCAATTCCTTCATCTGTATCAGCGGATTCCACCTGGTTCGGGCGATCAGTATTTCCCTTTTTTCACTCCAAGCAACAATGTCTATCTCGCATCCGTCCAATTGTTTCCTCTCCAGATTTCACCTCGTCCTCGGTCGCTCAAACTGTCAGCGCCTGTTCCAACACGTCACCTGCATTGGGATGTCTTTTCGTACTAACGTCTCCCACCTCCCGCTCTCAGAGAGTGTGTCATTTCGTTATTCAAGCTTCTTACATCACCTTGACAGCTTACACCTTGCCGACAGATTCATTCCCACCTCCTGGTCTTAATTTTGTTGTTCAGCACTACAATTGCTTGCTGCTGAAGATGTTCGAGGCATTTGAGCTCTGAAAATGAGCATGGCATAGCGTATAATTTTTTTTGTATTTTATGCTAATTAAAATGAGAAATTTGATGGTTCGAACCGGTTCTGAACCTGAACTGGACCTTATGAATGGTCTGGTCCAGGGTTCGCCTCCTGCCCTGAACTGGACCGAAGGTTCAGTTCTGGGTTCGACAAAACACCCCCAAGAACTGGACCGAACCGGACTTCGGCAGCACTAGTCTGCACCTGGCATCTTGCGCACTGGGTACGTTAGTGATCGATCTTTTGCATTTATTAAATTATGTCTATATCTAAACATCTATGCCTGCTCCTGTCTCCATTCGTCCATGTTCATTGGCATTTGTGCTCGTTTATGCGAGGGGAAGGTGATTAAGGTCATGTATGTTGATGCCCGCGCATTTTCGACAGCCTTAATGATATCACACAATTTTTTCGCATAGCAAGCCGCGGCCTAAGCCTAGGCCGAGCCGAGCCTAGCCTGAGCCGTCAAGGAAGGCCCGGCCTGCGATCTCAGTGAGCCTGAGCCCCATCAAGCCGAGCCGTGGCCCCGGCTTTTGAGCCGGGCCGGGCCGTGCACATCACTACACGGTGGGAGTCACAGGTGGCGAGCAGACGGTTGCGAGGGCAAGTGAGCGACGACGGAGAATCGAGACTCGTCAGTTGCCAGCTACTTATAGCATTAGTAGTGGGGCCTTGTGTGTAGTAAGCCGCTGAGGCTGAGTCACAAAGGATTCGAGGGCGTCGCCGAATTAATTCAACTAGGCCAAATAAGTTGAACCATAGCTAGTAATTAGTAATTTCAGAATTGACCACCAGAAGCAAATGGAGTGGAAGCAGTAGAATCGATCTCCATCTTTGAACTGACATTGGGGATTGCTATGGTGGACAAAGACCCAACCTCCAATGCGAACTGTAATAATTGCTGCCTGACTGTGAATCAGCTCTCGGCAGTCAAGAGTCAAGACGGAATTCTTTAGAGCTCACTGCTTGTGCTGTTTCAGTATCTCGAGCATTGCCACTACACTGTCCTGTTCCTCAACCAAGAGGTCACCTCCCGCTAATGTGCTTGCATAATCTTTTGCCTGAGCAAGTGTATATTTGAAATCGTTCGTCTTTCAGCTGATTAAAATGGTCGATCATCTTGCCGTAGGAAAGAACATACCGCTTGTAGCAGTGCTTGTTTGGCTACAGGAGTTGCTGTCCCATCTGCCTTCTGGGTGAGCTCAAGCACAATAGCGAGTTTGGATAGTAATCCGTCGAATAGTGATGTTGGTAACGCATGAGTCCATTCCGGTGTGCTGCCAGTGGCCATGTTCCAACATCGATCGATTACTGGGGTCTGGCGCCTTTGAGAGCATCTCAAATCGCTTATGTCATCCATTAATGGCACTGCGGCAAAGGTTGCCTTTCAGTCAGTTCATCACTTCATGTCATCGCAAAACAATCTAGATGTGAGTATCATTCGAGACCTTTTGGATGTGTGGATGTCTAACAGATCTGAAGAAAGCCATAGAGCTTGTCAAAGGTGCTATCGAGGATGATGAAAAGCAGAACTATCTTGAAGCGTACAAGCAGTACATGAATGCGCTCGACTACTTCATGCTGGCTCAGAAGTGTATGTCTACTTCCTCAAAATCTGCAATCTGTACTCAATATAGTCGCCAAGGTAGACGAGAAGAATGAGAAAGCCAAGCTACTCGTCAGGGCGAAAATTGAGGAATATCTTGCGCGAGCAGAGACCTTGAAGAAACATTTACAGAGAGATGAGAAGAAGTCACGCAAGGCCGTCAGCGTCGATAGTTCTGCTAACGGTACTGGTGGAAAGGGGTCCGTTGACAATCCCGATGACGACAAAGACCCTGAGCTCAAGAAGCTACGCGCAGGTCTTTCAAACGCCATTCTAGCAGAGAAACCGAATGTGAAGTGGGATGATGTTGCTGGTCTGGAAGGAGCAAAGGCATCCCTCAAAGAAGCTGTCATTCTTCCCATCAAGTTTCCCCATCTCTTCACTGGAAAACGGACACCGTGGCGAGGTATCTTACTTTACGGCCCGCCGGGAACGGGCAAGTCATACCTTGCGAAAGCCGTTGCTACGGAAGCCAAAAGCACTTTCTTCAGCGTCAGCTCAAGTGACCTGGTCAGCAAATGGCAGGGTGATTCAGAACGGTTTGTGCTTAACTCTACGCTACTGCAAGCTCGCCTCATGACTCCCCCCTAGGCTGGTAAAGAATTTGTTTGAAATGGCTCGCGAACAAAAACCTGCAATTATTTTTATCGACGAAGTCGACTCTCTAGCTGGAACACGAAATGAATCTGAGTCTGAAGGCTCCCGGCGGATCAAGACTGAGTTCTTGGTGCAAATGAATGGTGTCGGCCATGATGACACTGGCGTTCTCGTTCTCGGGGCAACCAACATCCCTTGGCAACTTGATCCTGCAATCAAACGTCGTTTCGAGAAACGAATATATATCCCACTTCCTGGCCCAGACGCGCGGAAAAGAATGTTCGAAATTCACGTTGGTAGTACTCCATGCGAGCTAGAGACAAAGGACTATCGTCTTCTGGCCGACCGAACAGAAGGGTACGGTCTTTTCACCGCATCCAAGTGAAGTAACGCACCCAACTACTACCTAGGTATTCTGGCTCGGATATATCCATCGTAGTCCGCGATGCTCTTATGCAACCAGTTCGCAAAGTCATATCGGCGACACACTTCAAGCCTGCACCACCTTCATCGTCAGGAAAGGCTAAATGGACACCATGCTCACCGGGCGATTCAGACGCCGCTGAAATGACTTGGTCGGACATTGACTCCGACGAGCTTGTAGAACCACCGCTGAGACTAGCAGACTTCATTAAGAGCTTAGACAACGTGCGACCAACGGTCACCGAGGTGGACATCAAGCGACATGATGATTGGACGAAGGAGAGCGGTATGTTGATGAATTAGATGCAACTTAGTCCTTTACTGACCTTGGTTTCCAGGAAACGACGGGGCATAATTTCTCGTTCTCACCCTATCTCATTAATGCATACCACGATACCGTACTGTTCCATGACATATTCCATACTACTACAAAGGAGCCCTTGCGACAATAGTACTTGGGTGGCATAAAGACATCAATTCCGAGGCCAAGTAAGTACTACAAGAAGCTATGGTAGGCAGGTGCGTAGTCGGTGACAAATGTAACAGTGGGAAAACGAGAATTGGAAACTACGACAGGAGGCGTACTGTTCTCTGTGTATTATGCTTCAAGAATACAGGCAGCGCTGTGTTCCAAGAGGGCTCATATTAGGTTACAACATACATGTTGGCACACGCGGCATTCCGCAAGAACGCGCCTCATGACATGATCTGCGCATGCGCTTGCTGCATCGCATGCACATGTACGTGCGTGGGTTTTGCTACAGCATGACAGACTTCTATACCCTGCACCCATGAATGCGCCACGACGTCCTCGATCGGAGAACGCAGTTTTGGGTCAGGTTCAAGCATCCTCCGGATTAAACTGCGGCACGCCCGTGGGCTCAGATTGTTGACAGTCGGTGGGAAAATAACATCCTTGTCTTTGTCTTTGTCCTTGTCCTTGTCCTTGTGCTGAGTTGCACAGGCTGCAACATACGCCGCATACAGCGTGTCCGACATTTGAGCAGCACGCCAGGGCATCTCCTGGAAGTGCAGGCAGTAATACACGATACCGCACGCCCATATGTCAACTAAACGGGCGTCGTATGCTATTTAAGTCGAAGAAGAGAAATCATTGCCTACGTAGTCAGGCAACCGGATAGGGGAGGGGTGTATGTGGCTTACGTTTGCCTAAAAATTGCTCTGGGGCAATGTACGGTTCACTACCGCAAAGCCCCGTCGACATGTGAATTGTCGCTTCCCATGGCAGGCGGTACACAGTCGATGCACCATAGTCGCCGATCTATGAACGCGTGAGAAGACAAGGACATATAATGCCTGTTCGCTCACCTTCAGATGCCCCTTAGTATCGAAAAAGAGATTCTCTGGTTTAATATCGCGATGAGCGACGCCTTGACTGTGGAGATATGAGACGCCCAAAAGCATCTGCTTGAAGCAGCACTCGACTTCACTGGGTGACATACCACCCTTCTTGATCGCAGCGTAGAGATCCCCGCCAGGGCAAAATTCCATAACCTCACACCAATGTTGGTTCTCGTCCTGAACGAGATCCACTGTCTCAACGATGTTGACATGGTGCAGCGTGGAGGAAATACAAAACTCTGCAGTGAGTTTCTTGACGTACTCCTTTTCTGATTCATTCTTTCGTCTTTTCCGGAACTCCTGAATACCAAAGAGGTGATAAATACGAGAAAAAGGCTGCGATGGGCAAAGACGGGACTAGTAATCGGCGCGTCTGCTTACCTTGACAGCATACAGCTTCTCTTCACTTCTATCCCATTTATGGGCTAGGCGAACGACGGAAGTGGCCCCCTTGCCAATAGCAACCTTTTGGCAAACACCGTACTTCTGCGTCAGACTGGCTGCGCTCTCACCACCAACCGATTTTCGATCCACGTCAGAATCTGACTTCTTGCTACTAGTTGAACGGGCGGAAGACTTGCGTGAGAGTTTCGGTGCGGAAGCAGTGATGAGATCCTTGAGAGTGAATTTCTGCCCACTGTCTGAATGAGCATTTGATGGTGCCCTCGACCGGCTAGTAGGCGTCGAGGGCGGTTTCTCTGATTGCTGAGATTTGCCCTTCTGAGGAGTCTTTGGTGTATGTGGCACGGCTAGTTTATTGCCCGACACACCACCAGACAAACTAGGAGCCCGGCTTGCGGCCTGGCTCGGGGGACGGGTTGAAGGAGCGCTCCAGCTCTCGCTCTCCGATGGTGAGGGTGAATCCATTACAGAGGGCGTTGCGGAGCGCGGTGTTCCGCCGATGACACCCTTGACCACCTTGGGCGGTTGCATGCGTGAAATCGAGTGGAACGTGGTACCGTTGACAAAAGTGCTAGGATGGGGGTAAGTGTGGAGAGTGCTGCCATCAAGTGGGGGCTTGTCTGAGCCGTCAGGGCCTTCACCCTCGCTCTGGGCGGCGTCTGCTGAGTCAAGAACCAGCATTGATGTGAAAGAGGACAGTGCGGTTTAAATGGCGAAATAAACGTGGGGTTACCAGAGGCTAGTCTCCGTTGCTGACCTAATACCGAGTAGTATTCGTATAAGACCAATCGCAGATGAAGGGGATGAGAAGGCGTGGTAAGGTCGTGCCCTACAGAGACAGCATGCTGACTTGAAACAGTTGAAAGAAGTTTGATGATGATCAATATGCTGCCGTGGGACGAATGGGAAGAACCCAGCCGGGTGACGGTGACCTGCTAGGCTATGCGGCAAGGCGAGAAATGGCGATTAAACCCGCCCGTAAACGCCTTTGTTAAGCCCTGGACTAGGACCTGTATCTGCCAAAGATCAAACCAAGTTATAGTTCCGTCAATACTGAGAACAACGACAAGAGAGATTAGAAAGGCGAAAATCAGAATGTGACGGAAATGGATGATGGCCCGTTAACGTTAGAATCAAAGAGAACGTCTTGACTCTTGAAAGACTTTTGAAGGCTGACAGTTCCGCGGCACGGCTGAGTAAGCACCAGGGTATCTTGTCTCTACTGAGGAGTCCAAATAGACACTAAACACACAGCATCAACGTTTGATGCACATACGGAAACCACACAGACTCACGGCGTAGGTTATGTGTCCGGTTTAACGTTTCAACGTTGCGCACGATAAGTATATCTACTCCAAGACAAATCATATCCTATATTTACACCCACATAAATACTTACACTCTCCGGGCTCCAACACTGTCAGAAGACAGTGACATGATCTGATCAGCTTCTTATCGGAGCTCGGGATCGTCAGCCCCGAGTACCTTTTCCTTAGACAGACTTGGATCAGAATATTTACTTACAATCGTTCCCGTAGCTGCAGCGCTGTCGTTTCTCGCAGAGTAGATTATGTGCATAATGCAAAATCATGATCGAAATACCAGATCAATCCAAATTCGACGACAGTCGGAGACTCGGAGGCCCCAGATCTGAGAGACACGAGAAAACCATTACCAAGAATCAATCTAAAATAACATATTTGGCGGAACCCGTGCAGACCAAATATACATTGGCGAATAGCAATAACACCTATGCCAGGTTCGTGGAATGCATGAGAATGAATGTCAAGCTGACTTTTTTTACGTTGACAAGCTTTCCATACTGGCTTCCGCTTCCTTGGAACAACATGAAACTCATTCATCATACCATAGTCGTCATCGACTTGTCACTCAAAGTGTGTATCAATCAACTGAATGGGCGGCTGCTCTCGCTATCAAGGTTTTATGTTAAAATAACCCTTGTGGTCAAATGGTAAGCAAGGGCCCCGGAAGCATCCGGTGGATCTGTATAGTTAAACCTAATAAGGTTCAGTGGCTTCCTTACGTAACATCGCGGCTAAGCTCGTGAATCTGAAGTTGCAGCTGTCCTCATCGACAATCCTCAAGATCAAGGTGAGAAACGCTGCCTGTCCAAGTTCTGCCTAAATTCATAACTCTTTGTACTCAGACGCCGCTATGGTCAACCTTCGTTCTCAAAAGCGACTCGCCGCTGCCGTCGCCGGTGTTGGCAAGCGCAAAATCTGGCTCGACCCCGCTGAGCAAGCTGAGATCGGGAATGCCAACTCCCGCTCGCACGTAAAGAAACTCATCAAAGATGGTCGGGTCATTGTAAAGCCCACCGTTATCCACTCCCGTGCCCGCACCCGCGACCTTCTTGCTGCTAAGCGCAAGGGTCGTCACACTGGTCCGGGTAAGAGGAAGGGTACCGCTGAGGCTCGTCTCCCCACCAAGGTGCAGTGGATGCGGAGACAGCGGGTTTTGAGACGGTTGTTGAGGAAATACAGAGAAGCAGGCAAGATCGACAAACACCTGTGAGCCTGTTTTTCCCTACACATGCTGATCTCGTGTTCTTACGCGGATGATAAGATATCACTCCTTGTACCAAAAATCGAAGGGTAACGTCTTCAAGAACAAGCGCGTCCTCATGGAGTACATTCACAAAGCTAAGGCTGAGAAGAACCGTACCAAGATCCTCACCGACCAAATGGAGGCTCGCCGTGGCAAGAACAAGGTTGGTTTTCAAGTCCTTAATAATGTATATGGCGCTGACCTTTTTAGGCCACTCGCGACCGTCGTGCCAAAAGGCTGGCAGAGAAGCGGCAAGCAATTCTTGCGGTGGAGCACGATGCAGCTGTTCTGGAGTAAAATGGTTCATGAATATTCACGGTTTCATTCCGACCTGCTTGGTCCTACACCCTGTAGCGCTTATGCTATGTTCACATGCCTCTACGATCGCTCACATACTTCATCATGCATTCTATTTTTTACCTCATTTTCTCCATCGTAAACATGATGAATACGTGCAATGTTCCCTGAGGTTAGATGTTGTACCGGATTGATAAGAAGTTGGCGCTGTAAATGAAATGTCTGAGCGCACATACGGGCAGCAACTGTAACAAGCCCGAGATCATTGTGGACAGAATTGATCAAGTCAACATGACATGAGCAGGATCCAAACACATCCTTTTTACATTCCTCTCTTTGGCCACGGCCTCTACCATCTCCCTTGTAATACCCACCACACCTTCCAATGTGCTCCCCAAAAGCCCACACTCATTCAACGCAAACGCAGCATCCTCGATGCGTAGATTCGTAGCTGACGCGATCTCTGCAAGGGTGGACCGCACAACGACGTGCGAAGTCGCGCTGCCATCAGGATTGGTAGTTGTCAGCACGGTCCGCATTGCTGCAATGGTGTCTAGATTCGCATACGGAGACGCTGAGTGCTGAACAAAATCACATGTATACACACTTACCATCCAGCCCGTTTGGTGATGTAAATGTGGAATTTGAATCAGGTGTTTCCCCATCCCATCCTTTCGCCCGTTTTTTTCGCGAATTAGCGTCCTCAGAGGGCGGAGGCAGTACACCAGTAAGGTCAGGTAGTCGCCCTGAAGACGTAACCGTGGGCCGATCTGGTGGGAGAACTGACAGAAGCCGTCTGCACAAAAATGATGAAGGCAGTACAAGCGCGAAGAGCTGACAGCTAACCTGAAGAAGCGAATAAGCGTAGCCACCCAGTATGTGAGGTAGCTTCTTAAGCCCAGGTCTGAAAGGGGTCGTTCGGGTGTGCCGATTTTACCAGCGCGGCGGGATACTTCGTAGCCTGCATGGTGTCAGTCGCACACATATTGACAGTTATATGAAGCTTGCTCGCACGTACTGAATTCAATCATGAGCATTCCATAGCCCTTACGCTGATATGGGGGGAGAACAATGATGCACGCAAGATTGTAGTCATCATATGATATTTTCTCCTGCACGCAGAATAAGCATTCGGAACGCTAAGTATGGCATACAAAATACCTTTGAAAAGAATCCGAGAACATGATCTCGTTGTGAATCCGCGTCTGTAAGAATATAGAACAAGACTGATGCGAGTGTGAGTTAATGCCATCGTGCCTGGCATAAACGCACAGTTGTCGCAATCAAAGAACAAAGTCTTAACGTCGATGAACAATTTTCCAAAGAGCGAGAGGTTTTGACAATAGAGCTGGAGGTCATCATAAGCATTCGAATGAGGGCAGCGAGATGTGGGGACCTTATCCTTTGCGCCGTCAACCTCCCAAATTATGTGCGCACCTCGCTGGTAAACCTTCCGTCCTGGTGGATGTCTCCTGTCGCATTGTTTCTTGAGCGAGTTATAGGTGTAAGCCAATTGTACACTCGAAAAGATATGGGCTTACTATATGCATCTCCCATGCTGCACCCTCGGCCATGTACTTGAAACAGCGATCGCAGACCCATAATATACTCTTTTCACCAGAGAGGTGTGAGCGAGTAAGCCCACCGGCCAAGAGGTCAGAGGTACGCCCATGTGATCGAACGGTCGCTCTGTTGACACCAGGAATCTTGGACGTCGAGGCTGAGCCTCCAGGTAGTCCAGTGCTATCCTCAAGCTCCGAGTCTGTGAGTGGATAAGGCGAGAAATACCTATGACATGATGTGAGTGAGGGGAAGATTATTATGATACGCGCTACGTACCAGGTCTTGATCCGCCACTGCCCAAAATTGACCTTGTCGAAATTTCTTTGCGCAGTGATCTGCTTGTGGTGTTTGATGTCAAACTCTTCCTCAGTCATGAGGGGATCGGGCTGCGTTTCTGGCTCTGGGGGTGTAGGTGAAGGGGTATCCCTCTTCCTTTTGCGCGCGAATTCGTTGGCAGGTTTGAGGATAGCCCCTGGAATCCATTCGTCTAGGCGTTTGTCAAACCCATCATAGTGGACATAGACCTGTCCGTCCGGGCGACGTTGAAGTATGTTGACAAGTTCTGGAACCCATTATTCACCTCAGTGGTTATAAGTTATTGGCGGACATGTAGAACGCACGATCTGCACCGTTCTTGTTAACGATATAGCTTGTGTTCTGCGATATCAATTGTGGGGGTGCGCTAGTTGATTCTGTCATTAAATTGGCCTGTTCGAAAGAGAGGGTGTGCAAGGTTGAAGTGAAGTGCAGATCACACTACTAATTAGCACTAGTACAATAGCATAACTATGCACTATAGTAGGCGCTTGCCTCACGTTCAAGTTCCAACGAGCAGCTAGCTCAAAGCTAGCTAGTTACTTGTGTACTATATCCATTAGTCAGTTGCTCAGCTGGTGCTTTCATGGCCGAGCACTCAGCACAGCGCTCAAGCTCAAGCCTCAAGACGACTGCTTTTAAAGTTATCGAATGGCACGCTTGAAGTTTCGGTTGGAAGATCCGACAAGTGCTATTGCCGTTCGAATTCCTCAAATAACAACTGTTGTCTGCCCCACGGTTGTTCGCATGCACTGGCATTCGCCGCGTACCGCTCTACTGTACAGCTGCCAGGCACATAGGTCACGAGTACATTCGTGCCTCGCGTACAGCATCCATGTATATTGAGTTGCACTTAAGATATCATTGACCAACTTGAGTACCTATCTTCTCTTCTTACACTTTTATCTTTCTCGCCTCCACGAGGCTCAGGTTCCACCATACCAATTCTTATTATTCCTTGACCGACAGAGTCATTTTTGAAGCCCAACTCCTACCTACACAGCGATCTCACTTTACTGAATAGAAATGCCTCAAGTTCGACTTCACGAAGCTAGTCTCGTAAATGTCGTGACATTATTGGTCATTCTTGAGCTCTGTGTTTCTCAAGTCTATGCATCTTGCACGTACTCGTGAGTTCCTCTACCAAGAATCTGCTTATTTCTTGTCTCAGATAACATTTAGGGAGGATTCGACTTACTGCACTCCAACCTTCTCCACGCCGAGTATCGTTGGCGTTATTATTGGCGCAAGTAGGTTTGATTTGTCAAAGTAGTTGCCAGCATTGGCTCAAACTGCAGCAGTTGCTCTCATGATAGTTGTCGGCACTATCAGCAGAATCCGTCGCCGCCGAAGACTCCGTCAAAGTGCTGCCTACATCCCTGGAGGAACGACGACCGTTGTGTATGGAGCACCCAGTAACAGCTATTACAACACACAATCAAATGTTTTCCATCCATACCCCACTCAAGCACAAGGCCCTCTTGGCCTACAGTCATCAAGACCTGTCCCCAGTCAGATGAATTCGTTGAACCGACAAGGAATGACTCCAGCACCCTCGTTTCCTCAACCATCACATTCATCTCCCATGACACACTCTCCACGCACGCGACCACCGACCATACCTTCTCCAACTCACCACTCATATCCAAACCAGAGCCCACACGTTTCACCACCCTCTTCGCCAGATTCTACCCGCCTACCAGGCGGTTCGTTTCAACTACCCCCCAATGTTCCCACCTCTCATTCTTCCCCTTCGACACATTCACGAGTCTCCGCTGATCCATCTGCTGTCCGAACACCATCCATCAGTGTCACTCCAGCAGCATACCCCCCTTCACAGGCCACATCCGTCGGGCGTCCATCACGTCCAGAGAATATGGAGATGCATCCGTTGACAGCGAAGACGGGGGTTGCAAATGATGAACCTCCACCAGCTTATACCCCAATTTAACAGAATGAAACATCCAAAGGAACTTTCGTACGAGATACCCAATTTTTAAGCAGGAACTTAATAAAATGTATCAAGAACACTGTCCAGTATTTCATGTTTTCTTGGAAAATTTCTCGGCGACCTGATATCGTTTCGCTGTGCTCCCCCGCTGGCTAGCTTATTTGTCCCTGATCGTATATATACGATGGATAAGTAAATCGTGAAATTTTGCTATCACAATGATGAAGGGGGCTTGAAGGACTAACATCAGGCCCGTGCCAACCACATAAACTAAAAAAGGCAGTCAAATCTTGTCTGTACCATAACCCCATATCGCCGTCCATATTCAAAAAGGAACGACTACGTATCTTCCTTCTATTATAGGTCTACCTACGTACGGAAGGCTAGCTAGCTATAGCTCGAGGCCTGCGTCCTGCCCCATGCATTCATGAGAAGCCAAATTTTCGAATTGTTTGCATTCCTTTGAAACAATTCACACACTTAACGCATTTGCACTTCAGTTCATTGGAACTTGCACATCACCATGCCCGCTACCGAAACACAACCAGTTCCAATTTCTTCTCCCGTTCGCAGTATAACAAAGTCCATAATCTCCCAGCACTCTCAGCTGGCCCCGAGGCTCGCTGTCGAATCTTTCGACCTCTCACCTTTTTCAGTACTACAACGATAGTTTCCGCAAGTTTGAATTGCACGCTAACTACCTTTTGATGTAGGAGTCATTCACTGGTCTTCTCGACGACGATATTGCGACATCCTTGTTGTTTCCGGACCCTCCAGAAACTCAGAGGAAAGCAGACATGGTCGCGGACCTGAGTTATGACGTCGAGGTTAATCGCATCACCTTTGGGCACTGGAATTGCTCTAACGCCTGAACTCTAGATTAAGAATATTGCGGATCTCGCTCCCCGTTTCAGGGATGGAGAAATTGAGGTGCAGTGTTTCTCCTTGTGTCGATGACCGTCGGAGGTACTCATGATCCTCGTAGGAAGTGATGGTCATTTCGCCGAAACCGAGACCCATACATTCCTCCAGGCAAGGCGTGAAGGCCGGTGATGTGGGTTTTGTGAATATTGACACCAACCTACACTCAAACAAAACCACACAGTTCCGACTACTATACACACTTTTCAAGGATTCCATTTCGTCGACGCATTTATGTCGAAAATGCGACGACTTCAAACTCTATGCTATACGAATTTCGAACAAGGAGCGCCTTCGAATCCAAAGTCCTCATGATCACATCCAATTTCAAGTGGAAATTTGCCAGGAAATTCGCGACCTGCGGTCTTCCTTTCTCTCGCCGTTCATCTGGATCTATGAGGATGACCTTGAAATTCATTCTATCGCGGTATGCTTTACCTTAGCTCTTTCACTCCAGATGCCAACACTTTGAACCAGGAGTTTTATCCTACTGGCAGTCTTCAGGATTTGCTCGATCGCGACACGAGCCTTAGTGAAAACCATGCCCTGCAAATAGCTTGCGAAATAGTAAGTTAAACCAACGACGCAGTGAAATATACTTAGCTGTACTAGGTAGAAGCTCTCGCCACGCTTCACACTGCTGGCATAATCCACCGTGACCTGGCACCGTGTAATATCATGTTTGACGTGTCGGGACATGTCGTCATCACGGGATTTGGTCAAGCATGCAGACCTGATTCAGCAGCCTCTTTCTCATTGCCTGATACTGGTCTGTATTGCGCTCCTGAACTCATCCTAGGGTGGGCACACGACTTTAGCGTCGACTGTTGGAGTTTTGGCGTGCTGATGTACATGATGCTTTTCGGATCTGTGAGTTTACTGCATCGATTTCTCCATCTATTGATGCGTTTTAGCACCCATATGTTGCTGAAAACGACAACGACAACGCTGCCATTTTGCAAACCAAGGTCCTTCACTGCTCGCTGATGGTTCCCCGGGCAAGATCAGTATCGTGGACAGCACACGATCTTCTGGTCAGAGTAAGTCTCGGAATCTCTTGACGCCGAGAAGCCTTCTGATACGCGTGATCGGGACTAGTGCTTGGAGCGCAACGCAGCTCTTCGCTTGGACATCAAACAGATTAGGGCGCATACATATTTCTGCACTGTGTGAGTTTGACAACTCTGGACGTTACCAAATTGTTGAAACTTGACGTAGGAATTGGAAGAACGTGACCAACAGGGTCAACAAGGGTTTGAATACCAATTTGCAGAGTTCCTGCCTGCTAAATTGACATTCACTGCAGCACCCCTCGGGTACGATGATGAGGATCCTGACATCAATATACGACACTCTGAAGAAGTGACTGTTTCAGAAGCAAATGAAGCGCATACAGAAGACGAACCTCTGGTGTTGGCCGAAGAGAAACTCATGGATTCATTTACCTCCATGCCACAACGAATAGTAAAACCTAAATCTGGATCTCTACAAACGCATCAAGATGCTATTCTCCAGACTCAAAGACGCATCTCTTCACAAAGTACTCGCTTAGAAATTGTACCTGAAGCTTCTGATGAAGAGGGATCCCTGGACGTAGGCCGAGTGGAGTCCAACACGCAAGATTGTGTACGACGTTTTAGGCAAACCTCTTTAGACATGGACCTAGGACGCACTCCAGCAGGTCCATTATCGTTGTGGGATGCTCTTGATTTAGAGATCCACTCCGTTTCCTCTCACTACTCTAACTCAAGCACAGACAGTCGTGAGGAGCCCCGAGAGATTTTTGGCACGCTTCGCAAAAGTCGGTCGGTAACCTTTCAAGATCGCGCCCTTTCTGCAATATCTATCGCAAGCACTGTTCCTTCCACGAAATTACATGTCCGAAATAAGCTCCGCAAGAGGATGCGTCCCGCAAGCACCCCTACACTTAGGTCTCCCCACCTTGATCCGTTACTCAAGGAACTTCCCCTTGGCGTCAAACAGATCGGCTACGGCATCGGCTTCAGCCCTATGGAACCCTTTCCGTCTCGCTCGAAATCAGTTTATCGATCCGCTGTCCGCGCATGTCAAAAGCTGGTACCAGTTATACGTCGCAAAATATCTAGGAAGTCTCTATCTAAGCGAGAGCAGCACACATCCACGTCAATGGACACAAGTAGGGCCCGTAACGCGATGGTAGTGATGCGTGGGATCTATGGACCAACCTGGACGCTTGGCATGGAGCCCCTGCCACCCTCTGCAGCTACAGACACATTCTCCGCCACAACAAACGACTCGGAGGGGCCAGTGACGCCAGACACCCCATGGTTTGCCCAAACAGTCGGACTAGTGCACCATGAGTCTTCCACCCTTCGCTTGGTACCCTCCTCGGGCCTTCAGCCTTCTATATGATTTTTTTCAATCTCGCAATCACGCCGCACTTCATTGATATCGATTTTCCCTCCTGAAGCTCAGGTTTTTCTGTTGATCAGTTTTCCCTTTTCCAGTCGCAGGACTTTGTCGTAATGTGGATGTCTTAACACTCGCCTGTACCTTATCGTTGTAAGATGCAAATAATTTAACGATCTCATTGGCCTTTTGCACATGACAGTGGGTGGTAGGTTCTATAAGTGTGAACTGGACAGACCACAGCAAAAGGAAGACAACAGTGGCTGTGCTGCCATCGGGTCGGACCTCCCGAGTGGGCGGCCCTGCTTTTACTACATCAACGTTCAACGTTCAACAGGCCTAGGTAAGCATACAATATATCTGACTCTGGACTTCTCTTAGGTAGTCATCGAGGAGTACAATAGTTGCTATCGTGACCAATGGAGAAGCCCTTCAAGTTAGCCAACTGCAGGTCCTTCGCAGTGGACGGTTGTCCTAGAACAATTGTGAGCCGTGACATCAAAGCTGTGATCATTAACTTCATTGTATTCTGTCAAAGTTGAAAGCAATAGTGGACCGTTTCTCTGGCATGGCAATGGGAAGTCATTGTCTTTCGCCACACGGCCCACACTAGCTGGGTATATAAACAACTGAAGAGTCTGAATTTGTTTTGGAGAAATAACTTGACTTCACCTGCACTCGAAATTCTCGATAACTTGACAGTTCTCCTCTGATTTCCTTGATTTACCTCAAATATCTACACGATCCCAAGAAAGATCCTCGCAGTATCATGGGGACCGACCGAAAGCCAAATCCACTACGCTATGTGAATCTCGAGGAGTGGGACGATGGCCCTGTATACGGTGATATAAAATTTCAAGAATGTCAACCGGACGATTTCGATGATCCGTGGCCTTATAGATTTCAGGTAGCGTTGTATTTCTAACTCGTTTCCTTTGTTCTTTTATTGACGTGGCTATCAGCATGGCGACTGTGTGTGGATCCATTCCACAGGTTATGAGTGGTATCAAGGGAAAATTGTCGGCCAGCCCAAGGTTGGCCGGACGATGAAGGTGAATATTTTGATACAATTGTCAGACTGCCCTGCTGACTTGCGTCTTGTGACTGACAGGGTGAAGGACTTTTTTGGCTTGTCACTTATAATCGAAATATGCGCAGATATGCAGCGCCTCTAAATGGCGAGTTGAAGCCTGATACTCCGCATATAAAACAAATGCTGGAGGAAGCAGGCGTGCTGGCACACCACTCAACGGCTCAGTGATTTCCTTTATGTTTTGTATGATAACCGACATTGCATTAATATTGTACATGATTATCGCTACCATCCATTCGTTGACCTGTATTATCCCATTGTTCCGCCTTTAAAGCTTTAAAGAAATAAGTTCTCGGCTCAGGCTGCAACTTGTGTGACGTGCGTGACCGAAATTCCATATTCTAAAAGCGCGTCGTGTGGCTCCTGTCTGCAAGCTCCAACAACATTTAGATCTTGGTCCACAACTTCAACGAACGAACACCATGACGAAGACTTATCTTATGAACAGCCTTATCGAAAAGGTTAGTTATCTGATGTTTGCTCGCTGGATCAACTGAGCTCTTTGCAATCTTGATTACTATAGATGCAATCCCCGGACCAGGACTTTCGGTGCGTGAGGTTGCCCCAAATATATATCATCCAGTTTTCTCAAGTTCTCGATAGATTTATGGGTCTAAACGACCTGATGAGCGAGATTAAACAAGATCCAGCCAGCTTCATCGGAGACGAACCTACCGAGACAAAGGTCCTCAAGCAGGTACTTTCGTTGGTGGAGGATAGGATTTCGGAAGTCAAGAATCAGGCTGTTAAGTGGTATGGCCCACATCTATTCTATCTCGCTCTTGTGGCTTATGGCTTCTATGCGGTACTGCGTATTTAGTCTGGGTCAATTGATCAAGATCATCCGCGAAACGCAGATGGAACTGGTGGTCGATAGCTTAATCAACTTTTCAGTGGGGAAGGACGATGAATTGCGTGATATATCTGGCTTGGGTAAGAAATCGAGATCGTGGCGCACCTCATAATCTGACGGCAAATATCTAGCATTGAAAACGATTACTTCTGAGTTGCCACTGGAAGGCAAAATCACTCCCAGAGCATGCGCAAAGCTTGCACCAAAACTTCTACAGCAAGTTTCGAATGTAAGCTGGTACTGCCAATATTGCTTCTGCTCTTGACATGGTCCATTGTAGACAGAAACCCCGCCAGAGACTTTGATTGAGACATTGTCAACGCTATCTATACTCATCACTCGTTTTCCGGCCCACGTATCAGATCCATCCCTTACACCCCACCCTCTGCCTGCCATAGCTCCTCTTCTTTCACATTCTCGTCCCGCTGTACGCAAACGTGCTATTCTAACGCTCTCACAATACGTTCCTGTAGCTCCCCCTGTGCTCGTCAACGATCTCTTGCAGAATTACATCCTCCCGTTCCTTGCACACAACGCTAACCTCGAAAAACAACGCACGACTGTGCATCTGGTTGCTGCTATCATACGACAGGCACCGCAGCAGCTTACATCAGTATATACCGACATCATACCTGGCGTCGTCAAAGCTGTCCAAAGGGACGATGATGAACTTCGTGAAGGTTGTCTTCAGGTTGGCAATCAGTCTTTTACATATTGCTACTCATCACTCATGTTGGACCAGGCTCTTGAGACGCTACTCTTGAGGTCTCCCGCAGAAGCGGCACCCTTCTTAAGCTCGATAGTACAGATAGGGAACCAGTTCATCAAATATGACCCGGTGAGTTATGAATTCATATATTTACATGTTTAAATCCCATCTTTTGCAGAACTATGCAGGACCGGATGACGGCGAGGACGAAGAGATGGCAGACGCCGATGATGACGACGACGACGAGGATGCCGATCTTGATGAGTGGGACCCACATGATTAATTCTATTTTCTAATTTTGCTCACAATATACATATAGGTACTCGGACGATGAAGACACATCGTACAAGATTCGGCGTGCTTCTACCAAACTTCTAGCTGCTGTGATCACCACTCGCCCTGAGCTTCTGACTTCGCTTTACAAAGAGGTGTCGCCTGTGCTAATCTCGAGGTTTGGCGACAGGGAGAAAACGGTTCGGCTTGAAGTATGGGCAACCTATGTTGTTCTACTCAACCAGACTAGCCTGTATGGTGGCCTGCCGCAATCTCAAGAGAACGATTCCGCCATTAGAAAGAGGAAAAGAGATAGCGAAGAGAGAATGGATGTCGAGGAAACGCCATATACCCTTCTGCGCTCACAGGTTTCGTCGTTATCCAAGACCTTGCTCCAGCAACTCAAGTCCCCGAAGACTCCGCCGCCGATGCTTCAGGCAGGCTTCCAGCTTCTACACGCTCTGCTTGGCGTTCTCCCCGGATGTCTTTCCAACCAAATCACGCCCATTGCCGCAATTTCTCAATCTGTGCTGCTTCAGTCGCCAGCGACTTCAACTTCGGCCCTTCACCTTACGTGTCTCTCCTTCATCGCATTGTATTTCGCGACGCATGCTCCCGGCACATTTTCCGTGTCACTTCCTACTCTGTCACCTGTTCTTTTGAAGTCCGCTGGAGAGAAACACCCCCGAGTTGCTTCAGAAGCCTTTCGCGCTTTCTCTGCTCTACTCAATGCCACGAGGCCGATAAAGAACGGCGAATGGGCGGAGCGTCTGTATGATCAAGCTTTTCAACGTCTCAGCACTCACGACACAGACGCCGAGGTGCGTGGATGCGCTGAGGACTGTATTGCAGACCTATGGATTTGCGCCCTGGATGTCATCAAACCGAAAGGCGGCAAGGAATGGCAAGCCATATGTCGGACCACGGGCAATACAGGAGGAGCTGTTAGAGTAGTCACGAAAGTTGCGAGGGACGTGGAAATGAGTGATGAATGGGTGAACTACTGTGTTGAATGGATCATGGGTCTATTAAAGAAGAGTGAGAGGGGAGGAAAGCCAGAGATATTCGTCGCCCTCGATACTCTTTTGAAAAGGTCAGTTCATCTCTTGGGGATCTGACAGTAGCCTGATTTTGTCCAGATATTCGTCCGGTATTCCTACCGATCTGCCACCCACTTTGGTCCCTCAGATCAGACCATACATATCGACGACAGACATTTCCCTATTGTCTCATGCATTGACTATCATCACAGTGTTACTCGAGCTATCTCCGACCGCTACTTTCCCTGAAGTTGAGCGCGAGCTCCTTGGCGATATATATCAGATTGCGCATTCGCCTCTCGTCTCAGGAGCTGCTCTCGATTCACTTCTAATGTTCTTCTCTTCATTGGTGCAGGCTGATAATCAGATTGCAACCCATGTTGTTCCCAGCTTGGCGACTTCGGTGGAAAAGGCCAACAAGTCAGACGCCAATCTAGCCAATGTCGCTAAATGCATTGGCCAAGTTGTCCAGAGCGCTCAGGGAGTGGCAGCAGGAACCATTGCGGTCTACTCCAAATATATCAAGGTCAGCCCAGGCATGTTAAACTAGCCAGTCTCTTACATTGCGCTGCTTCTAGAAATCTTCCAAGTCAAAATCCACCACTTCTGTTGTGGTGTTAAGTCTGTTGATTGTCGGGGAAATTGGTCGTTTCATGTATGTCAGATGCTCCGTGTCTCCATTCCATCGATAATCCTGCAACAGTGACATGTCGAAGCAACAAGATACGTTTACCAATACTATCGAACATTTCGCAGCAGAAGAGGAGGAGATCCGTGCTGCTGCTGCATTCGCTGCTGGTAAGTAAAGTCTATACGTCAACCGGATACATGGATTGAAGTACCTAGGAAATATCGCCATTGGAAATCTCCATCAATTTTTACCTGCAATCCTCAGGGTTGCAGAGAGCGATCCGCACAAGAAGCTACTGTCCTTGCACGCATTGAAGGAGGTCTGAAAATAAGTCTTTTGCGTCAATTTGTGTTCTGAAACCAGCCTAGGTGGTCACGCATTGCTCGCATGGGCAACTTGAAGGTGTTGCAGAACAGCTCTGGGCACCCCTCTTTCAATACTCGGAGGATGCAGAAGACAGTACACGCAATGTTGCCGCTGCCTGTCTGGGCAAACTTACTACAACACATCCTTCGCGATATCTCCCGCAACTTCACTCTCGCATCCATGACGAGAACCCTGCAGCACGCGCCACTGTCGTATCTGCCATCCGACACACGCTTGCGGAGCCGTCACCATCATACGACGAACTTTTGGCATCGCTCATCATGGACTTCTTGGATTTAATCCATGACCAGGATTTGGTACGCCGATTGCTCTAATCAATTTGAATTTCCTGACACTAATTACACAGAACGTCCGCCGCCTTGCGTTATCCGCTTTGAACTCTGCGGCAAGAACGAAGCCCCACCTCATCCGCGATCACCTTCCGACTTTGCTCCCGAGCCTCTATGCGGAGATGAAAGTCAACCCCGATCTTATCCGTACGGTCCAAATGGGACCCTGGACACACAAAGTCGATGATGGCCTCGACGCGCGCAAGACCGCATGGGAGACGCTGTACACTCTTGTAAGCTTTTTCCATACATGTGTTCTCCCCTCAATCATATACTCCTAGCTCGATACCTGCCTAACTAAACTCGACCTGTCGATTTTCCTCTCGCACTTGCTTGCAGCCATTAGCGATCCGTCAGACGAGATTAAAGTGATTGGGCACATGCTCCTCGCGCGGCTATCAGCATCTCCGACCACATCCATCGCACTTGCACAGCGCCTCGACGAACTTACACCCTCTCTTGAATTGACGATGCGCGGGACAGCCGTCACTAAAGACACAGTGAAGCAGGACATTGAACGCGCGGCAGAGCTGCGGAGGAGCACGATGCGTGCTGTGGCTGCCCTTAGCAAGATCGATAGTGCGGGCAGCGCGCCCAAGTTCGACGCCTTTGTGGAGGAATCGCGGAAGAATGAACAATGGGGCCCAGAATTTAGGGAGTTACTTGGACACTGAAGGATTTCACTATGCAGGCACTGTAGGTTATTTTTCAATGCTCTCGTAGGCAAAACGCAACTGTTCTTGCGATTAGGATATCTGTCTAGTTACGCTACGTTTCCAAGTCTATGATGTGGGGTAGTTACCTGAGTCTACATACCAGTACTTATAATCCTGCGTCTGGAGCCCTTTGTTGCATTGAAATTCGTGTTTCGCTCAATAAACCCTTGATGATGAATGAACAATGCTCTATGATCCAACTAACCCTTTCACCCTCTTCCAAATGAGAGCCGCAGCCTCCTTTCTCTCTCTTGTGGCGCCACCTGCTCCGAGGATGCTCTTGTTCTCAATCGCCCGGCGAGAAAGGTAGGGCATGACCTAAACATGTATGGTCAGAATCATCCTCGACACCATAAACTCGAATAGCACGGCGAAAGATGAAAAACCAAACATGCATTGACGCGGAAAAGCCAATCCAGAAGGGAATAGAAAGAGACTCGCCTGCACCAGAGCGCCGTATGGGACATACTTGATCACAGACGGGGCCTCACACCGCATCCGCCCGACGAGGTGGTTCGTCAGCGCATCTGACATCCCTACATGCCAGACAATGAGTTAATGCTTTATTAGACAGAAAACACAGAAGGATAACGTGCCATACAGCTGCCCAAATGCAACCCTCTCTCCAACCTCGGGCGGGATCCGCACCACGCCCTCTTGCACCTCATCGATAGCAACACGCTCGACGACTCCCAGACCCTTCTTGACAAGTTCCTCAAGGACGAACTCGCACGAGGTCCAGTTATGCGTACCAAAAAATACACCAATGGCTGGTGCACTAGATCGGCCGGAGCGGTGAATGTCACGAGAGATTTCGTCGACCAACAGGGTCACGCAGTCGTGATAGCACTGGTCCGTCGCATCCTTCGAGGATTGAACAGGGGGTTCAGGGTCGGGAGATATGGAGAACGAATGTGAATGTTTTGGTGAATAGGATCGGGCTGGAGAGGTTGCTGAACGAGCCAGTTGATGGGCAGCAAGCTCGCGAGGATGATAAGCCCCCCGGACAAGTTTCACTCCCAGAGCATAGCCTCTCTCACGGGCCTGCACCAGGGAGTGCGCGAGGTGCGCGGGCGTGCTATAATTTGCGCGTGAGCACACTTGGTCATGTACGTACATCTCAGTACTTACCGCCGCAGATAGGCTTGATAGGTCACATACACGAGAGGCTGCACTCTGCTGTGCGCAGCTTCTTTTGCAGATGAAGAGGATATCCACGAGGAGATGTCCCACCATGTCCGCTGGGAGCCACCGGAGGGGAGCTTATTGAATCGCTCCATCAATGCGTGTCCAAATGCGTCGATGGCGGGTTGGTACCAACTATAATACGGAGAGGTAGTTTAGCATGTGACATTAAAAAAGCAGTCGAAAACTTGAAACACCTATGTTCTGCATCAATGAAAACTCTTACTCCGCGTTCTTCAGCACGTGTGCAAATCTGCATAAGGTCGTTATATAGCTCTCTCAGGTCGTGGATATCAGATTCCGTTAGTGCTCCTGTAGGTATAGAAGAATGCAGGATAGAAAGATCAGATGGAGAAGGAGTCCCTGGAAAGAGTACCGGCGGTTCAAGCTGTGCTCGAGTATGTGTGAGGTATGTTGATAGGTTGATCAAGGATTGGGCATTTGGAAGCAGGGCGGTCTGGGTGATTATGAGTATGGTGCTTTTACTTTGATACTGACAACTCACAAGCTTAACAGAAATCCAAGTCCGCCTCCCTGAGTGTGCACCCTGTAGGAGATCCCTTCCGTCCTCATAGTCAGCGGAGACGTCAATACTCCTTATCATTTCCTTTACGATACGTTTGTGTACATGTTGCCTTTCCACGCTCGCCTGACCCGCCACCTCCTTCTCGTCGACTTCAACAGCGTAACTGAAGAGAATGCCTTTGTTCTCTGCGCGGAGTAATGCAAAGATTGGTAGGGCACCATCGGCCGTTTCTGCACCGACAAACTGCCAACCCAGTTATGGCTCCAGATTAGACAAAGAAGAATAGAAAATATGTACCTGATGGAAGAAAGTAGCTCGCACGAAACTTTCGACTATCTTGCTCACTCCAGGGATACCGAACAAGATATTCAATGTTGTTGGTGCCGCATCGACGAGGGGGGCGATACTGCATGTCCCATACACAATATACGCACGCAGGAGATCCGACAGTGTGCGTGTGTCAAAAGAGGCAGGATTGGTATTTGAAGCATCAGTGTAGAATGCGCAGCCCAGTGCGGAGGTGGTCAACGCGCTGGAAAGCACTAGCACGCGTCCCAGTCGTCTGAGGCGGGGAGGTCGAGCAGTGGAGAAAGCTCGAGCGCGAACAAGATGGCGGAGCGTACGACTGGGAACGATCATGCTCATGGTGGTAGATGAGTAAGAGACGTGCTCGCAGATGGTCCGGGAATGGAGCTCGAGCCTGCTAGCTCCGTCCGATTAACATACACGTACAGGGATTGCAGGAACGCGAGGAACGCCAATCACATGGACAGAGTCACGGCATGCTAAACATCCCGAGCGGGTGTGCATGCGATCATCATTATCATCGTAAATTTGTCGATTCCGCCTCCGGAGAAACATTGAAAGAGTCACTTAAGAACTGCCATATGAACGTCAACCAATAAGAAATTCAATGGAAACTGTTCCGACTTGCTTATATAATCACTATATTGTCGACCGTGAAATTGGTTTCAACTTTCAACTAGAACTTTGCGAACGATGTAAATCGAGTTGGGACAATACATCGTAAACCATATCTATTCCATCGCAATTGGCACAAGCCCCTGCAGCAGACTGGCAGACATCCGTAGCTCTCTGCAGTTACCCCTAGTGGGCAGCTAGGTACTTGTGTGGAAATTGCATCCGATCATTAACCCTTCTATCTGAGGCTTTGACATTAACCACTACTGGAGCACTTAGTACTTGTTGTTTTCACAAGCAACCGTATCTCCACCCATGAGCACCGCACGTCCTTGGTCAGTCAACGAACTGTCATCAGCGCGCCCTGAATCTGGGCACTCGCGTCCTTATACACGGCAGACAAGCGCATCCCGACCATGGACTGCCCAGTCACGCCCTGGTACAGCACGTCCCCAAACCGCCGCTTCCACCATGCACGACGCCAGCTATGTTATCGCCCTCATCGAAAGTCGAGGCATTGCGCACGAAGTGGGTATGGCCGCCCTCGATAAAGATACGGGTAGAGTCATGCTCATTCAGGTTAGGACTCCTCTCCTCCTAATTCATAGCAACTCACATATGTGAATTAGCTCTCGGACTGCTCTACGTATGTCAAGACGCTACACCAAATGCACGTGCATCCGCCATCCATAATCCTAGTGCCCGATACGTTCCTAACCCCGACAAACGCAAGCCTCACTCCATCTGCGTCTGCCGCGCGAGCAGCTTCATCGTCATCGCTGTCGGTACAGTTCATCAAGGAGGAGTTTCCTCAAATTCCCATCGAACCGATACTAAGAAAATACTGGAATGATAGCGCCGGTCAGCCGACAACACACTTTCTCCCGCATATATACACTCAACCATCATACAGGCTATCAATTTATCGCTCAGTTCTGTGTTGAAGACGATGAACGTGCCGCCACATTGGTCTCCGTGACAGACAAGTAGTTATATGCGCATATATGCTCGTCTATTTTGCTAATTTCTAGTATCCAGATACTATACACTCTCAGCCGCATGCGCTCTTTTCAAATTTGTAGAAACTCGCCTCAACACCCGCTTTTCTGCGTGTTCTCTTCGTATACGTTATATCCCCGTCGAGGGGACCATGATGATAGACCCAGAAACTGTTAGAAATCTGGAGCTAATCAACAATCAGACCCGGAAGAAATCCACGCATTCTCTCTTTGGGTATCTCACATCCTTTTCCAGATTGCTCATGATTTGACATGCGTTAGGCTTCTCAACCATACTTATACCGCAATGGCTACACGACTTTTGCGAACGAATATACTGGCACCCCTGACAGGCAAGTGCTCGCACTATGGAACCCCGATGAGCTGATTCTACATATACCGCCTGTAGCCCAAAGCGCTTTGGATGCCCGCCTAGACGCTGTGGAAGGTCTGATATTGTCAAAATTCTGCTTCAAGTATTGACCACTACAATTCCCGTAGAGCTCATTCACAGCGAAGATAAATTTACTGAGATTAAGGATGCTTTAAAAGCCCTGAACAAGATGGACTTTGACAAGCTCATCTCATCGGTGAGCCTTACCTCGTGGTGTGGACGCGAACATAACTCCCAGCCTATAGCTCGGGTTTTCTGAAGTTCGGCCAACAAAAACAGCAAAAGGTGCTTTTTCCCGCGTGTCACAAATGCTCAACTTGCGCACGGCTGTCCGAAGCCTTCCGTTCTTGCAGAGAGCTTTGAATGGATGCAAGTCTCAGCTACTGAATATTATATATGACGTGAGCCCTGCGCTCTGGTCTCAACTTTGCAGCTTGTTATACCACAACCTACTTGTAGATACTGTCTGACGAACGGCTGGCCAAGATCGAGGAGCTCATCGCGGAAAACCTCAACGACGATGCAGGTACAGTCAAGGTAATTGGAGTATACTATTGTCGTCGCCGTCTGAACAGCTCTTGCTAGGGAGGGATTGGCGCGATTAACGCAAGAGTATATGCAGTTAAGGTACATTGGCATCCACTCGCTTTCTACAATTTGCTCAATTATCGCAGGCGAACCGCAATCGCCTCTTGGATGTTGCTCGTGAAACTTTCAAAGAAAATGTCGCAGACATATATCAGCTCAACAACGCCCTAAGCGAACGGCATTCCCTGCCCCTTACTCTCATTTACCAAGAAAGTGGCTTTGTGTTCGCGATCAAGAAGGATGAGATCGAACACGAGCTGCCGAAGGGATTCATTAACGTGTCTGCGCAAAGGGGTCGTTGGCTGTTCTCAAGCATGGATCTGGTGAGATTCGATGGAAAAGGCAATACGTGTTCTAATAAGTATCGGATGACAGAAAAAAATGAACGCTCGAATGAAAGAATCGTTGGAGGAGACTCTGGTCTTGAGTGACGGGTATGTTTCAATCGTGACTCCGTCGTTGATTGTCGATTGATAACATGTAAAGGATCATCCGGGACCTGGTAGGGCAAATTATAGCGTTTTCGGGAGTGCTCTATTCTGCGTCAGAAGCGGTAATGACATCTCCATTTCTTTGGGAGGATTCTCAACGCCCGGTTTAGGTTGCAACCATCGACTTGTTATGGTCTTTTGCTCATGTCTCCATAAGCTCGTCATTCCAATCTTTGCACCTTGCCTCTGTCTGACGGTTTTTTTCACCAGTGCGAAGCTATGGTACAGAGTTCATAATCCTTTCTTTTAAAGAACGCCCACTGAGTTTTTTCTTTAGTGCGTCCTGAGTTTACTGATACATTGGCGATCAAGAATGGTCGTCATCCTGTCCTTGAGATTGTTCAGTCTGCCGGAATGGTCGTTTCAAACGATATTTATTGCAGCGACGCTGCCCACTTTCACATTGTTCAAGGGCCAAAGTGCGTTTCATAAATTACTCATTACCTTGGATGCACAGACAGACATCCATACCCCTCAACAGCATGTCAGGTACGAAGTACGTCTGCATCCGTCCCGCTGATCATTCTTAGGGTTTCCACAAGGGAAAAGTACATATCTCCGTCAAACGGGTCTTCTCACTGTGATGGCAATGACCGGTTGTTTTGTGCCTGCTGAGTACTCAAGCTTTCGGTGAGTCATGGGTTGTTGATTTTGATCAAACCTTGATGCACTCATTCTCACGAGCCTGCATGACGCCTTACTTACTCGGCTCTCCAATGACGACGATATGGAGAAGAGTCTCAGCACGTTTGCAAATGAAATGACATCCTCCGCTATGATCCTAGGTCTGGATCTATAGTTGTCTGTTACTCGTACTGAACACCCCACCAGGCATTGCGACCCCAAGAACACTGGTCCTTATCGACGAGTTGGGTCGAGGGACATCCCCTATTGAGGGTCTTGGTATCGCACATGCTATTGCAGAAGAACTCGTCAGATTAAAAGTAAGCACAGTTGCTCCCGCCTTGTTTTACACTCTCACGAGAATTGCAGTGTTTTGTCTTCTTTGCTACGTGAGCACGCGAATTCTGGGTCAACTTGCGTGTTAACAAGAGGACTAGCCATTTTCACGAGTTATCGACGACTCTGTCTCGACAGCCCGCTGTGGTTAAGTGAGTGATCGTTACCATTTTGACCAGTAATAGACGACCAATTTGTCCAGTTTGCATTTGTCTGTTCAGGTGCTCTCATACTCCTCTCGAGTGTAGCTTCTTTACAGATTAATCAACATCCAGCGTTCACGTCCGTCGGCCTCTAACTTCGGCATGACGTTTCAGTACAAGTAAACCCAAATCAGTGTAATACATGATACACGGATACCCAGCTGATTACACGATTATAGGATCCTTGATGGAGTCCCAGAAAATACAGGTCACTATGGTGAGTCGCAGACAACAGACAGATGGAGAAGGCATCTGGACCAGTCTCCATCAGGTCTGGAACTAGCCAAATTAGCTGACCTTCCCGACGACATGCTCACTGAAGCGAGACGGGTGTCTGAAATTATTACGGAAAAAAACCTTCGTTGCGAGGAGGAAAGTCGTATAAACGTCTTGACCATTCGCAGGCGCGCACTTCTGAAGGTATCATCGTCAATCACTCCCCAGAACACTCCCAATCCTGAATGTTTACTATCCCCCAGCTTCATTCGCAGTTGAACCAGGCGTTGGATCATTCTTCCCTTCCTCAGGAGGAGTTGGTCGCATATCTGGCACGATTGCAGAAGGACTTCATGAAGACTCTGAAAGACACCCTTTGACGCTCGCTGACCAAACAGGATTCCGGATACACTCGACAATAGGAAGGTGATGATACCAACTCCTTACCTGCCTGCTGAAGCTTGAAGAGACGACACGAGAACACTCAACAGAACAATCTCAGACACCATTCAACTGTTCGTTTCTCATCTCCCTTGCAGATACTCTCGCTGTGTAGCACCACGATCATGTTCTTAACAGCTTCTAAAAATGATTAGATGTGAAGAGATTGATCAACTTTTGAAATTGCCAGTGCATGCAGGAGTGATGTTATTATAATAATTGCGAACACCGTTTCGTTGTTCTAGTCAGGAACGTGTGGGCTGATGCAACTGGCTCTCGACCGATGACTTTTCGGGTGAGGTTGGATGTCCGACCGTGTCCGCCACGCCACTACCCCTGGACTTGGAGGACGTCTTGCAAGTTCTCGGCTAGACTCGCTCCACGAACGTAAGATACGTTGAACGCGGAAGCAATAAGTCTTCTTGGCACTTGCATGTCTTGACTTGAATGCCTCAGGCCGCCTTCTGGACGGCTCTTCCAGGTAGTCCAGACACCATTGGAACACCTGCTCATAATCATCGATATGACCTACTGGGCTCACTGAGTTGATTTTGACTCAAACTGCGAATCTAGTCTTCAAAAGGGTTACCGAAGATGTGTACTTCTCAAACGAAATGGTACAAGCAGCGCCCAGCTCCTCACTTCTGCTACTCTCATATCTTGAGACAGGGCGTATCTGGCCTTAGGACTTGATCACGCTTCCCCTTGGGTATTCTCAAGATATGCTTACGCAATTGCGATAGCAGTTGTGCCGCACACGATGTGGCAAAACTCCCTCTGTTGAGGTGCTAATGCGCATGGTGGTAAGATAAGGACCGAATTTCCTCACGCCCCGTAACTTTGTCCGAACCAGTCAACTTGAGTATGGGACTGTCCGTGTGGCACTTTCTCATTTGGTTAGCCCCGCGTTAGCATCGTGTCATATCAGGTCGGCCGCGAGCATGGGCGCCTTTCTTCGCTCTTTCATAGCTTTTCGCTTTCAACTATCTCCACCACCTAGTGTTACGACGATATCTCATGGGAAACTGTGTCTCCCGTCCCCAACAGCCCTTCCCAGTCTCTCGCAGTTCGTCCGCTGAGAAGTATCTGAGGAGTGGCATTCCAGACGGTCTGCCTATAGCTGAGCCAACAATTTCTTTTTGGACGATACCTGTAGCTCCCATAGCAAAAGCCCATTCAGAGGAGAATCTGCCATCCCATGCAGATGTGGGTGAGTATACCCCGTACCTGTTTTGAGGTCGCCGGTGAATAATCTATGACAGTTATTATTGGATCCGGTATATCTGGCGCCTCTTTTGCGCGAACTCTGCTTGAGTGCGGAGACAGTCTTCGCGTCGTCATGCTTGAAGCCCAAGATGTATGCTCAGGGGCCACTGGCAGGTGAGCAATGAGCGCCCATCTCGCTTAGACCGTTGATGCGATATTAGTGTCTTGCCCAGAAATGGAGGACACATTTTTCCCGCTACATATCATGACTACGAAGACCTGAAGAAAAGAGTGGGTGAAGATATGGCAAAGAAGATGATGCGCTTCCGTAAGGCGCACTTGGATGAGATTCTGGCCATTGCTGCAGAGGAGGGTATCACAAAGTATACACAGTGCCGTGCCGTCGAGGGTGTCGATGTGTACTTCGATAAGCCTACGTTTAAAGAGGCACAGCGAAAGCTGCGAGTATATCAGCGTGATATGGGCGAGCATGCAGATTCATATGCCTGCTATGAGGGCTTAGACGCTCAAGAGGTACGTTGAGGGATAATATCATGACCTGTGACTGACAGCGTGGTAGAAATTCCATCTTTCGCCACTTGCGGTAGGATGTATTGCCACGCGAGCTGGTGCTATACACCCATATCGCTTTGTGACGTCGATTTTAAGCCGTCTTCTTACAGACTACCCTAAGGAGTAAGTCTGACTTTAATTGTGGCCCGCAATAATTCGCGACAATCTCTAATGCAGCTTAGGTTTGAGATTTATACCCGTGCACCTTGCACATCAATCGATGAGCCCACATCAAGTTGCCCGTTTTATACACTTACTACAGCACGCGGGGTGATTACGACCCCACACGTTGTGCATCTCACGAACGCGTACGCACCTGCGCTCTTACCCGCTCTCAAGGGAGTTATCTTTCCCATCCGAGAAACCATGACCGCACAAAGGCCTGGGCGTAACCTCCATGCAAGTACGCTGCATGGCGGGCGGAGCTTCGTGTTTTTTGATAGTCCTCGCAAGGGCTTCGATTACTTGACACAACTCTCAGAAGGCGAGCATGAACTCATGTTCGGCGCAGGCTTTGAGTCGCGCACGGATAGTGGAACTAATGGCATGTATGGCGTACACAGCGCCGCACATGTAGGTGGTGCAATGCCAATCTATTTTGGAGCGGAGAGCTGGGGTGCCGAGGCCTTACCGGTCACTCCCACAGATGAAGGTGTAGGGTTGTGGGCAGAGGGACGAGTGAAGGCGATTTGGAGTGGTCTGTTGAGCGAGTCGGCAGATGGGATGCCGTGGGTTGGCAAGGTGCATGCTGATGTGGCCGGCAGGAAGGCACCTCCTGTTTCATCTACACCCTCTACTCTGAATTCAAATACGGAGAAATTGAAGTCAGATGTCACTGCTGCTCCCGGTGAGTGGATTGCGGCCGGCTACTCTGGCGAGGGCATGGTGCATGCGTGGCTGAGTTCCAAGGCTGTTGCGCTGATGCTTCTCGGGGAGGATCTCACGGAGGTGAAGACTTGGCTCCCAGAACCGTTTAGCGTCACGGAACACAGAGTCAAGATGGCCAAGCGGACTTTCAAGCCTGACGTTGTGCTAAGTGGCAAGAGGGGTGTTTTCAATCTGTAATGCTTCCAAATGTTAAGCGTTTCTTCTGTAGTAGGTACCTAATCATGCGCATGTTACGTTGTTTTGTTGTCCTCTAGTCTAGAGCTCTATACTCAATCGATTTACATTTATTTGATTTGGAGTTCTGGAACCACCGCAAATGATTGCATGAGACCTGTATTTCTGCATGGGCAAATTCGATAGCCCGTACATCCCAATTTCCTGACATGTGGTCATGTTTACGGATCATCCAAGAACTACGTGCATTCACATTAATCTATCAGTCCATCAGTGCGCGATCCTACATTAATCCACTCATACACCTGCAGCAAGACAAAAAATCACTACAAATCAATCAACAGCTCCTCTCGTCGCTCCGGAATTGTCGTAGGCGCAGACGGCGCGTACAAATCAAACGACTGTGGTGCTGTCGTGGGTGCAGAGGGAAATTGGGGGAGCTGTGGCTGTAGGGGCTGCTGATACTGAGCGCGCGATGTGTGCGATACGGTGCTTGAACGCGCGAGCGGGGCAGGTGGTGGGGACACTGTGGTGCGTGATGAGACGCTGTGATGCCGTGCGAGGGCCGGGGTCTGTGGAGCGAGGGGTGGAGCTATGGGTAGAAGCGCAGGTGCTGGTGGTGGTTGAGACGGTGCGTGAATGTTGGTGAACTGAGGTATGGACACAGGTTGGTGGATCGGAATGGTGGGAGAAGCGGGCGTTTGCTGGGGGAGGTAGGATACAGATAACGGCGGACTGGCGAAGTGGGGCGACTGCTGAGGCTGAGGGGGTGCGGGCGGCGAGGCAAGTGGAGCCGTAGGGTGTTGTGATGGTCCTGCCGCATAATGAGCATAATGAGGCTCTGACTCGGGGACAGTAGATAATGTGGGTCGGGAAATAAGAGGCTGTGGGGCGTATTGGACAGGATCCATCCGCGGTGGCGCAACAACCGGGGAAGACACGGAGGATGCATGATGGTGGGAAGGTGCCCATGGACTGTAACCGTTGACGGGTGTTTGTGCCGATTGCCGCACAGGTATAGTCGTGGGGTGGACCTGTTGGAGAGAACGCCGCCATGTGGGATGTGAGACTTGATCTGTCAGCAGCTTGTCGTAGAGCTTGACGGCTTGCGAAAGTTTTTCGTGCATCTCAGATAGCAGTTCTAAGTGCAAGCATCAGTACAGTTGAAAATTTCCATGCATGTTGACATACGTTCTTTGCGGTCAGTGTCATCCAAACTCATGGCCAGCTTGGGACGGAGCCCATTCGCCTTGTCATATAGTTCGTTGACAGCAGGATACCGCGACATGTCGCGTCCCCCTTGCGCTTGCACTTGCTCCACTGTCTGGCTGAATGTAAGAATCGCGTCGGTCTCCAAAAGCTCGAGATCATAACTCGCAAGCTTCGGCACTTGTGGGGCAGGCGCGACGGTGGGCGGATATGATTGAGAAGTGGCGTACGCAGTGCTGTATGAATCTGTGCTTGAAAGCTCTACAGGGGCGCTCGGTCTCGGGGCGCTAGCCTCGCGAAGACTTGCTTCGATAGCTGCACGGAGATCAGGATCGTCCTCGTCCGCGTCAGCAACTTTGTGATCGGGGCGTGTCTTCCTATCAACAAGAGGAGGTTCAGAAACTTGCCAATTGTGCGCGGAGGGTTGAGCGGGGACATAACCCGGTCTGCGTCCGTGAGCAGCACCGACCTCCTCGAGGGAGAGCTCGATAGCTCGTTGGAGCTCGGCATCTGCAAGGTCGCGCGCACTGCTGTGCCGTGGGCTATACATACTTGCGGACTGACGGTGTCCTTTGTCACTGTAAGGAGGCGGCATATCAGAATGGCTTATGGACAGAAGGACGCAGATATACCTTTTCTCAGCCTTTTTCTGCAACTTATTGTGACACGTATCACAGACCCTAACAGCTTGAGTGATGCCGAAGTGAGGTAGGGGTATGGATTTAGATGAACATTGCTGGTCGAAAACCTGTCCACAATTCCGACAGTGATGTTTTCGGTTGGTAAATGTAAACGGAGTGCGACATCGCAGACACAATTCAGAATCTATCCATTCTGGAGCAGTTGATGTGTCGACCATGGCAGAGTTCGCCAGGGCAAAGTCCTTTGGAGGGAAATGATGTCCTGCGCAGCAAGTGTGAAGCGTGGCGATGACAGATCTGGTGAGCGCATACCTTCACTCTTGAGGGTCTTGTAGACCTGATTGACGTAGCTAAGACTGGGCTTGCCTTCAAAAGCCAAGGACCAGTTCTGTATATATTTCAAGATATCATCTCTGACAGAATTATTTAGACCATGGATTTTGAGGATGGAGACCAGATTATCCATGAACTCTCGTGAGGTTACCTCGGTCAAGAAATGATCGCCGCCATTCTTGACACAGATGTCTGTCAACTGTCGAATCGGAATCAGAGCATGGCGCGGAGAATGTAATGATATGGCTTACGGCGAGTGCGAGGAGTTGGACGTTGGGATTCTTGTGATTAAGGCGGCGTTTGAGCGCACGCATGGCATCCTTTGCGGGTGCAGACTTGGAGCGTATCTGATCGCATATTTCGAGATTGAGAGCAACGTCCTCTGAGCCATTCGGGATGAGCTCCGAAGTAGCCTTGTCTAGAAAGGTAATGATGAGTTAAAGTACATGGATATTGCTGATAATGCTCACCGACGGCGTCGTCAAGTTGGGAGGTTCCCCATAGCCAGCTGCTGATCGATGCCATGTACAACGAGCACAGTATAAGTGAATATGAGTATTGAGTGTCGCGTCAACTGCGCACAGCTGCCTACAGCTTGATGACGCGATGACAAATCAACCGTGATTTTCGCACTCCGATCAACAAATATTGAAGTATTATGGTTCCTACTCGGTAGCATCCTCACAGACATTCTACCACAAAAAATCCCGGGTGTATCAGTGGGGCTGATAGAGAATTATGTGAAATATTTGATGGTATTTACAGAATACTTTGGGTAGCACATCATTGTGAATTGGGTGATGCGTGACATGATGTGTGACTGCGTGACTCGGGGCCGGACGCAGGTGAATTGGGGCGGAGTTGGAACGTGAGACTCATCCACAGGTTGTTCTCAACAGCCATCTTTGCCGTCTTCAAAGGTCCTGTTGTCGACTTTTCGGCTCTCCTGCAGATTCAGACGAATTCATTAACGCTCCCGCCAGTTGCGCGGTTTGCCGAGTTCCGCTTGACCCGTTTTTTTTTGCAGAATTTTCCGTCTTTTTTGTTACTTTTCACCTGGTACTCGTGGTTCCTTTCAACCCGCAAAAAAAGTGGTCAAAACTCCACTTATTTCCATACAATTGCATTTACGACACTGCATTCGCGTTAATTCACGTCCTGGACTCCTTTCAGCTCCCTTTTCCGACCTGGTCACCGCATTCCTCATCTTAACGCGTTTTTATTCTCCTTACTGCTTCTGTTGCTGTTTTTGCAATCATGTTGGGCCACCAGTTCGCGTATTCGGCCGCTCCCATTCGCAAAGTGAAGGAGGTCCAGTTTGGTATCTTGTCACCAGAGGAAATTGTGCGTCACGACCCATTCTCTACCCTACTGTGCTAATCAGTCTATCTCAACCACGCAGAAAGCATACTCTGTAGCAAAAGTGGAGCATCCAGAGGTTATGGACGAGACAACGCACAAACCTAAGATGGGCGGTTTAATGGATCCTCGCATGGGGACCATCGACCGAAATTTCAAGTGTCAGACATGTGGAGAGGGAATGTCAGAATGTCCTGGTCATTTTGGCCATATCGAGTTGGCGAGGCCGGTCTTTCACCCAGGTGTGTTTGCAAAGCTCTCGTTGTCTCAGTGTTCGGCATTCATTTGGGTTTTCAGGTTTCATCATTAAAGTGAAGAAGATCCTGGAATGTATCTGCGTAAACTGTGGAAAGCTAAAAGCCGACATCGTGAGTTGAATTTCGTTCCTCTACTCGTTTCGCACCCCACCACCCAATTTTCTGGGGGCTCTCTCCATAATCCATTGGAGAACCCCAAACCCGCACCGCGGCAGTACCTCGAACAAACGAGGCGTTTGACCCCCTGCGGCGTGGTCTGCGCGCGTTTTCGATCGCTTGATCGCCGCGTGGACCATTGCAAACGCCCAGTGATGGTTGGACACGAGGTGCGCGGTGAAATGGGGCGCTGAACGAGGAGTGCGAAAAATCGTAGTCCAGCCCAGTGCTAAAGGCACCTTACTGGACTCGGCTTTGGTGGCCCTCCCTGTGACGCGGGAAGAGGGCTTACCAATGGCCGACATATATGCCAAACCATGTCGGCTGCCTCCTTGTGATGCATTGCAATCCCTTAGATAATGTTTCTATTTCCGTCGACATTGATGCTGACGTTTACATTTCATGTGCTTCCTAATATGTTCGTTCAATGCCATTGTCGTTCCGTAGTCCGATCCCAATTTCGCCGAGAAGATCCGCCATATTCGCGATCCCAAGGCGCGCATGGCCGTTGTATGGGCGCACTGCAAGACCAAGATGGTCTGTGAGACTGACGAGCCCAAAGAAGATGGTGCTGAAGGAGATGCGGATGAGCCCAAGAAAGGTCATGGTGGATGCGGTCATTCGCAACCAGTCGTTAGAAAAGAAGGCTTGAAGCTTTTCGTCCAATACAAGAGACCCAAGGATGAAGACGAGGTCGGTATATGGCAGCATAAATGAATGCTGTTGCTGACTGGTTTTCAGGATGTGAAATCGATGCAGCCTGACAAGCGGCTGATAACACCGTCTGAGGTTTATACAACATTCAAGAAGATGTCGGACTCGGACCTTCATCTTTTAGGTCTTTCGGATGAGTACGCTCGCCCGGAGTGGATGATTCTCACGGTTATGCCTGTCCCGCCTCCTCCTGTCCGTCCAAGTATAGCAGTTGACGGCGGTGCTATGCGGAGCGAAGATGATTTGACGTACAAACTCGGTGAGATTATCAAGGCGTCCGCACATGTACGGCGGTGTGAGCAGGAGGGTGCGCCTGCGCATGTTATCAGCGAGCATGAGCATTTGCTCCAGGCAAGTATCGCAGGAGAGAAATTCAAGTGCGGCTATTGACTGGCTGATTGTAGTTCCACGTTGCCACCTACATGGACAACGACATCGCTGGTATCCCCCAGGCATTGCAGAAGTCTGGCCGTCCGGTGAAGGCTATCCGTGCGCGACTAAAGGGGAAAGAGGGGCGTCTCCGCGGTAACCTGATGGGCAAGCGTGTGGACTTCTCTGCGCGTACAGTTATCACGGGCGATCCTAACCTGGAGCTGGATGAAGTTGGGGTTCCTCGGAGCATTGCCATGAATTTGACTTATCCTGAGCGAGGTGTGTTATTCGTCTTCGCTTCGGGTGACGGAACTTACAATGCCATTGTAGTGACGCCCTATAACATCGCATACCTTCAAGAACTAGTGCGCAACGGCCCGACTACATACCCTGGTGCACGATATGTCGTGCGAGATACTGGCGAACGTATTGACCTGCGCTATAATAAGCGCGCTGACGCATTTCTGCAATACGGGTGGATTGTCGAGCGGCATCTGAAGGATGGAGAGTAAGTCGGATGAGCAAAGGATTGCATCGATTTTCATGCTGATTCCCATTTCAGCTTCGTGTTGTTCAACCGGCAGCCTAGTTTGCACAAGATGAGTATGATGAGTCACCGCGTGAGGCTGATGCCATACTCTAGTGAGTGCATGCGCCCTCTTGCGTGCTCTACGAGAAATTAACGAGTACAGCCTTCCGACTGAATCTGTCCGTGACGCCTCCATACAATGCCGACTTCGACGGTGATGAAATGAACATGCAGTAAGTTACCTGTGTCTTATATGCGATACGTTATTCATGTCTTCCAGCATTCCACAGAGTGAAGAAACACGTGCCGAGCTGTCGCAAATAGCATGGGTTCCCCGTCAGGTAACCACATCTTCTCATTCATGGGTGTTATATTTAACTGGCGCATAGATCATCTCGCCACAAGCCAATAAACCTGTCATGGGCATCGTGCAGGACACGCTTTGTGGGATCCGCAAGTTCACGTTGCGAGATACGTTCCTGGACTGGAACCAGGTTCAGAACATCTTGTTGTGGGTCCCTGGCTGGGACGGCAATGTTCCAATACCCGCTATCATCAAGCCAAAACCCATGTGGTCCGGGAAGCAGATTCTTAGTATGGTGATCCCCCGCGGTATCAACATCCACCGGGCCCCAGATCCCAAGTCCTCGAACCCCATCTTCGACGACGGCATGTTAATTGAGAATGGAGAAATCATCTTTGGTGTTGTTGAGAAGAAAACCGTGGGCGCTTCACAAGGTGGTTTGGTGCACGTCGTCTTTCGCGAGAAGGGCCCTGAGGCTACTCGTGACCTCTTCACGGGTATACAGATGGTCGTGAATTTCTGGCTGTTCCACAATGGATTCAGTATCGGCATCGGTGACACTATTGCTGGCCCCAAGGTTATGAACTTCATTACGCAGCGCATTGGCGAGAAGAAACAGTTGGTCACGGAAATTATCGAGGAGGCGTATCACGACCGTCTGAAGGCACTGCCCGGTATGACCATCCGAGAGTCATTCGAGAGCAAGGTAGAGCGGGAGCTCAATCGCGCCCGTGATGACTCTGGTCAGTACGCGCAGAAGAACCTGAAAGATGACAACAACGTGAAGCAGATGGTCACGGCTGGCTCCAAGGGTTCATACATCAATATCTCGCAAATGTCTGTTTGTGTCGGGCAGCAGAGTGTTGAGGGTCGTCGTATTCCATTCGGGTTCCGTCACCGTACTCTTCCTCATTTCACCAAGGATGACTTCAGTCCGGAGGCACGTGGCTTCGTCGAGAACTCATATCTGCGCGGGTTGACGCCGCAGGAGTTTTTCTTCCATGCTATGGCTGGAAGAGAAGGTCTTATCGATACCGCCGTCAAGACGGCAGAGACCGGTTACATCCAACGTCGTCTTGTCAAGGCATTGGAGGACGTCATGGTCCACTATGACGGAACGGTACGCAACTCGCTCGGAGATCTCATACAGTTTGTGTACGGCGAAGACGGTATGGACGGCGCGTTCATCGAACGCCAGAAGATCGAGACATTTGGCCTCGACAATGAAGCCTTTGAGCACAACTATCGCGTTGATGTCACCGACGGCAAGAATGGCTTCCTGCCCAATACCCTGCAGATCGGCGTGGATGACAGCTCTCTGGAGCTGCAGATGAAATTGGACGAAGAATACAACGAGCTTCTGAACGACCGCCGTCTTCTGCGGGAATTCATATTTCCCCAGGCAGACGGGCTTAATCCTCACTATCTGCCTGTCAACCTTCACCGTATCATTCAGAACGCCACTCAAATCTTCCACATCGACAAGCGGAAGCCGAGCGATCTGGAGCCGGCCTACATCGTCGAAGCCGTTCAGCAGCTCAATAATCGCTTGGCTGTAGTCGTTGGTGATGATCCTCTGACGAGGGAAGTCCAAGCCAACTCATCGCTGACTTTCCGCATGCACGTCCGTGCCACCATGGCCACCCGCCGCGTACTCGAACAGTTCCATCTTACCAGAGAGGCATTTGACTGGGTCCTTGGTGAGGTAGAAGCCAAGTTCAACCAGGCGCTAGTGAACCCGGGAGAGATGTGTGGTACACTTGCTGCTCAGTCGATTGGTGAACCGGCCACGCAGATGACGCTTAATACGTTCCATTATGCCGGTGTCTCCAGTAAGAACGTGACACTTGGTGTCCCGCGTCTGAAGGAGATTATCAACGTTGCCACTAAAATCAAAACACCCTCCCTCACCGTCTACCTCGAGCCTGACATTGCCGAAGAGAGTCTGCTTGCCAAGAACGTCGAGCAAGAGCTCGCATATACTTCATTGCGTACCGTGACGGCAGCCGTGGAAATCTGGTATGACCCAGACCCAAGTTCCACCATCATCGAGGAGGACTCCGTGTTCGTAGAGTCGTTCTTTGCTATTCCCGACGAGGAGATTGAGTCCAAGCTGCATCTGCAGTCGCCGTGGCTCCTTCGTCTGGAGCTTGACCGTGCCAAAATGATTGATCGCAAGCTCACCATGGCTTATGTCGCCGGTCGCATCGCGGAGAGCTTCAAAACTGATCTCTTCGTCATCTGGAGTGAAGATAACTCGGAGAAGCTCATCATCCGTTGCCGTGTGCTCGGCGGTGGCGACAAAGATGACGAGGGTCTGGGAACAGTTGAAGAAGACATCTTCTTGCGCCAGCTTGAAAACACAATGTTGAATTCCGTCAGCTTGCGCGGTGTTCCTGGCATTCAAAAAGTCTTTTTGCAACAACATGACAAGGTGTTCATCGACAAGACAGGCTCCATCAAGTCAAAGAAGGAGTGGGTGTTGGAGACGGACGGTATCAACCTCAAGACTGTCATGTGTATCGATAGCGTCGACTTCACTCGTACGTATTCGAACAGCTGTGTCGAGATCTTCAACGTGCTGGGCATTGAGGCAGCCCGCGCTGCTATCATGAAGGAGCTGCGTGGGGTCATCGAATTCGACGGTTCCTACGTCAACTATCGCCATCTCGCTCTCCTTTGCGATCTCATGACGCACCGAGGCTCTTTGATGGCAATTACCCGCCACGGCATCAATCGGGCTGACACCGGAGCGCTCATGCGCTGTTCATTCGAGGAGACAGTGGAGATTCTCATGGAGGCAGCTGCAGTCGGGGAGAAGGACGATTGTCACGGCATCGCCGAGAACGTCATGTTCGGCCAGCTAGCGCCAATGGGCACTGGTGCCTTTGATGTTGCTCTCGACATTGACATGCTGAAGGATGCTATCGTCGATCATCGCCTGCCAGTTCAAAACATGCTAGCGGCACAGGCAGATGGTGGCATGACACCAGGACAAGTGGCAATGACGCCATACGACACCAATTCTCCTGCGTGGTCAGAAGGAAATTTCAAAGGAGAATCGGCTGCCTTTTCTCCTCTCGCTGTCAACGGCGGCGAGGATCCCGCAAACTTCTCCTTCCTTGGGTATGGGCAGAGTCCTCTTGGTGCCGGAGGCATGTCCCCTGCAGGACCTGGGTACAGCCCCAGTTCCCCCAATACATACTCGCCGACATCGCCATATGTTCCACAATCACCGTTTGGCGGCGCTACATCACCTTTTGGCACATCCCCATATGCTACTTCTCCCTTCTACGACCGTGGCAGAGGGCCTACATCGCCGACGTATTCGCCGACATCTCCCGCACTCAATCTCACGTCACCAGGATACTCGCCAACGAGCCCACGTTATTCTCCCACTTCTCCGTCGTTCTCACCCACGTCGCCGCGATACAGTCCCCAATCTCCATCATTCTCCCCCACGTCACCGCGGTACTCTCCCACCAGTCCTTCGTTCAGCCCTGCTTCTCCGCGTTGTAAGTTTATCCCTTTCGTATCTCAAGCTCGATCATTGACTGATGTCTTGCTTTCTCAGACTCACCAAGTAAGCACGGATATTATTCACGCATGATGTGTACTGATGATCTAATTGTACCGCTCTACTCACACCTACAGCTTGTAAGTCTTTTCCTTCTGATTGACACACTGCATACTAAGTCCAATTCCAGCACCTGCTCAAATGTCCCCATCCTCACCGAAATATTCTCCCACTTCACCAGTATCCCCATCATCTCCAAAATATTGTAAGTCGCCCATCTTTGTCCGAAACACAAACCCTCACACTTTCTAGCTCCTACCTCCCCTACATACTCCCCAGCTTGTGAGTACTCTCACCTTGTCGTATTTCCACACCCACTGACCCCTGATCCCACCACGCAGCACCCGCATATTGTAAGACGCTTTGTCATGGATACTAAATCTAACTATCGCTAACCTCTTTTTTAGCCCCTGCTTCTCCCGCCTATAGCCCGACGTCACCCCAGTGGTCGCCCTCGAGTCCGGCACAGAACGGCCGGAGTCACTCGTACAGTACCTCACCATCCTGGGAATAAGGCCACCTGTAGTGTTCGTTCGTTGGCGTTATTATCTAGCACGTTTCTTTCCTGTCAAAGCACTCCATGTAGATTAAGCACATTTTTTACTATACAAAGCTAGATATGCCCTATTATTCACGTCCCTGAGCGAGCATGATAAAAAAAATTGATTTGAACGAGCTTTGCGGTATGTATGTATGCATACTAAACATGTAGGGTCAGCATAAAACCTATTTGCGGTTACGATGGCATATATAAAAAAAACAGGAGCTTTCTCACAAACTCCCGACTCAACGCAAAAAAAAAAGCGTCCAAGATATCAAATGTACGTACGTAGCAGGACTATTTGCAAAGGAGTGGGTTTGGTGTGGGTGTGATGTGGGCAACGCCCGGCGCGCGCGCATAGTATTACACGTGAGGGTATATGGGAGAGGGCAAAAGTGGGAAAGAACGCAAACGTAACACGTGGGGGGGTGATGAGGGATATCACGATGTGATCCGACAGCTTTAATGAGGTACTGTACTGTGCAGCGCAGCCGCTTGTAAAAATGCGAATGCTCTTCATGCTGAGGTTTTAGATCAGGGGGGGATAGGAGTGGGTTGTGTAAGGAACGGGAAAAAAACGTAGGCAAAAGGGAAAAAGAAAAGGAAAAAGTAGAAAAAGCGAGCCAAAAATCGAACCGAGCAAGCACCAGCAACTCTACCTCCAAACGCATCAGATGAAAAATTGGGTACTGCACGCATTCATCAGTGAGTGTTCGCCAAAAACAAAAACGACACGCACTGCATCCGACTACAAGCATGCACCTCCATCTCCTCCATCTTGTACGAATTGAGCTCTTCTTTAATGCGTTGCGCCAACGCAGGCGTCAATCGACTCCACGTCGCAGGCTCGCTGCGACGATCATAAACAGTCGACGAAAACGTATCATAAACTGACAAATTATTTGCAAACACGAGCCTTCTGCCAGGCGTTGTCGCTGAGCGGTGCGTCAGCGTTGGTGGGGTTGTAGGGATCGTGGATAGGGCTGGTGCAGACGAGTTGGAGAGCGTGAACATGTTCTTCTCTTTCTCTGCTGGATTGTTAGATGGGTTTAGGGAGAGAGATGATATAGTACCTCCTGCGGGGGCATTGGTTGATGAATGCGAGGGGTGTCGATGCAGCCCATCGATATGGTCTGGATCGGGGGAGGGCATCCGAGCAAGCGGACCTAGCTCCGATGGTTGCCCCGGATGTGAATTATACGAATTCGAGCGTACGCGGCTAAAAGCAGGATTCGCGACGCTCTCGCCATTATACACCTCTTGCGAGTAATTCTCCGCGCCTATCAAATGTCAGCGTAAACAGTGCCCAGCCTACTTGATACGCACCTTTAAGGATGCCCTTTGCAGGCGTCCGATGGCGCTCGACGCTGCGCCTGATATTAGTCGCCCAAGCGACGACCTCCTCGTCTTCGCCCGCCACACCTACACGAATAGTAACGTCCTCTTCTCCGTCCTCATCCCAGACTTCATCGTCGTCCCAGCCGTCCGATATGAAGTTCTGTCCGGGCTGCGGTACATAAGCATGTCCATCATCACTCTCATCATCCTCCTCAACTACGAGACGCGTCCCATCCTCACTCACCCTCCCACTCGACTCGCCAGCACGCGTAGCAGTATTCTTCTCCCACGCAGCAGGGACATGGGTCCCATTCACCTGCACCGGCTGTGTTACCTGCTCGGCACGCGCCTTTGCAGCGGCAGCAGCCTCTGCATTACTCTTGAGGGTATGCTGCCTGGCGAGTTTAGCAGCAGGACTCAAGCCGCTCATCTCCGGACCGCTCCATTCGCCCCGATCGAGCTCTGCAACAGCGTGCGAAAGGCTAGGAGCGACGACTTCGCCCTTTGCGTCCTTTTTCTTCTTTTTCTTGCCGCTGTCCTCTGCGCCTTCGGTGGACTTGTTCTTGTCCTTGAAGAGGGAGGTGATACCTGCGAGGCTGTTTCGCCTTGCGAGTTTTCCGATGGACCCGATCTTGCGGATGACGACGGAAGCAGAGGACATGGTGGATGAAAGAGAGATGTTATCGGTGCTCGCGTTGAGACGTGAATTGAACAAGGACGCGGCACGCCCTTTTTTCTTGGTCTGCACTGTGGCGGTGCTGACGGCGTCCGCGTCAGGGGGCGAGGTGGGTGGAGCGTCTTTGCTTCCACCTGCAGTTGGGGCTTCTTCCTCTTCTTGCAGGGCTTGGGCAGCATTGAGACTGAGGGCGCGGCGGAGTCTGCCTTTGATACCGCCTGTTTTTCCACCGATGGATGTGCCTTCAAGGATAGCTGCGAGATCGGAGTCATCACGTGACATGCGCTTTTCCGCAGCCGTGTAGGTACCTTGGCTGAGCGGGGAGGGCCGGGCGGGACGAGCATGGGAAGAAGAGGAAGCTGTTGCGGGAGTTGTAGCGGTGGATGTGGAACTCCTAGATGTTGCGGTAGATACGGAGGGACGTGGGGCTGCGGAATTAGTAGATGAAGAGGAAGCGGTGCGGTGGTGTGGGCGGCCATTACTGGATGATGCGCTGCCGGTACGAGCGCGTGGTGTTTCTACGGGAGGTGGTGGGTTTCTAGGGCGGGATTGCTGGCCCTGATTGCTTGTTGTACGTGGGCGTGTACCACCACCGCCGTGAGAGGAAGAAGAATTGACAGAAGTGGTTGAAGCGGAAGCTTCACCACCGCGTGCGTATGGGGGTTGTAAAGATTGAGGAGTACGCCATTCCTGGTGATCCTGTGGGCGGGTATTATTTGGGCGGCGATATGGGTGAAAGCCATTATACTGAGCTGCATCTGATGAAGCTGAGCGCTGTGCCTGAGGAGGAGCAGGGTAGTGAGAATGAGGAGGAGGAGTGCCACTTGGAAAAGGGGAGAATAACTGGGTTGGGTTAAAGTAGTCAGCTGGAGATGATGGTTGTGAAGTGGATCGTTGTTGGTGAGCATGGATCTGTTGTTGTTGAGAATACATCATTTGCTGGTATGCCCACTGAGCTAGTTGAGCATTTGCTTGAGGGTCGAAATAAGGGTTTTGTTGCTGAGATTGGTAAGGAATCTGTTGTTGTTGTTGTTGCTGTTGCTGCTGCTGTTGTTGTTGTTGATTTTGTTGGTAGTAAGAAGGGTAAAAGGGTTGAGCAGAAGGACTTGGAGTCCAAGCGCCATGAGGCTGCTGTTGAACTGGGTATGGATAAGGTTGGATGGGTATGTTAGGCTGTTGTTCGTTTGATGGAGAAGAACGTTGACGTGGTATTGAAGGATCCATTGTTTGAGGAGTATGATCGCGAGGTGGGTGCCAATCCTGTGGTGCGAGAACGGCCATGGAACGCAACGGTCCAATTAACTAAGTTGGTGGTGGTTAGATGTAAAAAGGGAGATTACGATTTGAAAACACACACAATTTTTTTGTTTGATTAACAAGAAGAGAGACGACGTTTCAAATGGAGGTCCTCCCTTGATGGCGGTCGCCCAACTCCTTTGAAAAGAAAAAAAAAGACTGACGGACAACGAATACCGCGACGACCAACAACAGCTCAATAACCAAATAAATCAAAACAAGTTGTAGACTGGTTCCAATTCCTAAATTTGATTAGCACTCGGTCGTTTCACGCCACACTCAACGATCCGCGTGTAACTTTCTCACGTGTCACCGCCATCCCTCAATTTAGTATTAACGCCAGTATTAACGCCCAAGTTTCAGCGCTTCCTCCATGTTTTTTGAGTCGAATACGCCATTTATCCAGATTTGTTTATGCGTACTACGCCGTTTTACGGGTTTACACCCACGAAGCCAGCGTTACAACTTGTTACAGGGTCTCAACCCGAATCGGGTCACTCATCCTACACTGCTATTAGTCGCTTCGTGAACGTGATGGCCAGAGCACGTACGGTACATTCCTGAGACCCTTGCAAGGGGGCGGCGTCTCCCTTGGCTCTCGTTACTGTCATCCAAGACCTCATCGTCCACCATAAATCTAGCCTGTAAGTACTCTTTCAACTTATTCGAGAACACCACCCCAATCATGATCACCAGAATCGCATTTATCATTATCAATGTTAGTGGTACTCAAAATAAAAATTAGAAATGTTTGAAAGCTCGCTGAACTCTGACTAAGGCTTTCAACTCGTGGCTAAGCGGCTTCCAACACTTCGGCCGCTGGGACTGCGATTGAAGGTCAGGCCGGCATCGCTGGCGGAGTTTCAAACAACCATGCCTCCTTCTCGCCAACGTGTACGCCGTTCTGCACGCTTGAAAGCTAACCCTCTAGTGCGTTGCTCCAGGTCGATGGACGACGAAGGTCCAAACACTCGCGGACCAGCCAAACCCCCTCCAGAACAGCATGTACCCCGCCTGACTATCCAGTGGCAGAGCGACCGTGCTCTTACCGACATCCTCGTCAACCATCTCTCCACGCACCCCGCCGATTGCAGAGTACTTTTCTACTCTGACGGCAAGAAAGCGATGGCTGCCGTTGATGATGGTGCCTCGGGCTCGGACAAGGGGCAGGTGTATGGTACCCTGGCCAAACTTATTTTCACTGACCACCCGAGGTACGGTTACGCGTTCGCCACCAACGCAAAGAAGTTTCGTGACGGAGTCTGCAACCGCATCCAAACGTGAGTCGTTCCCGTTTTTTCTTCCGTTACAAAAAATACTGAAATTTATGTAGACTTAGGGGGAAATACAAGAAACTCAAGGCATCTTTTGACAGTACTGGCGCTGGTGTGATGCCTGGTGAAGGCACGCAAACGAAAAATCTTTTGGGTGAGTCCTCGTTCCTTATTTTCTGGTCCTTAGCTGATGTGTTTCGTAGATGCAGCGCTCTTAGAGCTCCCATGGTATACGGAACTGGATGCCATTTGGCATTCCAATCCGTCCATGGCCGCGAAGACTCACTCATCAAGACCTGGCGTCGATCACGCCGGCGCGTTATATTCCTTGGTTGGACGACATGCTGGGGCTGGTACCCCCATGCAACTTGACACCAGCGCCGGTCCCCCCATGCACATTGATACCAGCGCCGGTCCCCCCATGCACATTGATACCAGCGCTGGTCCCATGCAGTACCCTCAACCGCCTCCTCAATATCCCCCGCCCGATATCCATCCTTCCAGCACTCCACCCTCGCATTATGGCCAGCACTACTATCCCCCAGCAATGCCTTATGCTGGGGGTTCACATGGTGATCCCTCCATCGATCCAACACTGCAACATCCTGCTCCTGCTCCCGCATTACCCTCCACTGCCCCTTTGCCCTCCGCTGGCCCTTTGCCCTCCACTGGCCCTTTGCCCTCCGCTGCCCCCTTACCCTCCGCTGCCCCCTTGCCCTCCGCTGTCCCCTTACCCTCCGCTGCCCCCTACAATCAGTCTTCTCAATTCCATCTCCCTGGCCTTCCAACATCAGACGACGACATGGACATGGACTTTCAAGGCACCGGTGGCCCATTGGATGCCCCCCTTGAAGGTGATGAGAGGGCCGATAGCTCTTCCAAAGTCGCTGGGAAGAAGCGACAACTTCCTTCGTCGCCGTCTCCCCCTCCCGATGCTCCCGAACCTTTCGCTATGCCAGCAGCGTCCCCATCATCTGTCTACAACAGCCGCTCGGCATTTGGCCTGAAGAAGCCACCGAGCCGCGGTAGACACCGCAGGCTGCCATCGGAGATCTCTATCAGCACGTCAGCACCTTCGTCCACGACACGCAATACTACCCCGTCGTCGGACTACCTGATGTCCTCGACCCCCCAGACTTCGCTTCCACATAGCGCCGGCGGCTCGAAGAAGAAAAAGGCCAAGTCGGATGTGATGCAGCAGGTTGAGGAGGTGAGGGATGAGATCGCGTCCATGCAATCTGATGCGATGTCGCGCCACGACCACAAACACCAACGCTATCTCGCGAAGCTCGAGGCGAAGACAGAACACACCCGCGACATCAAGAAGTACGAGTGGCTTCGCGCCACGCGCGAGCACGAGACCTTCCAGGCTACTGTCAGCCATCAGCGTCTGCAGGAGTCGAAGGATAGCGACATCCGCCTTCGCGAGGCCGACATCCGAGTCTACGAAGCGCATTCCTTGGTGCTCGACAAGGAGGCGGAGACTCTTCGACTCAAGATCCAGTTTCAGCAAATGATGCAGGCGAGCAAGGGCCCAGCATCAGATGGAGTTGAGTGAGCTCTCGTCGTCGTTGTCTCGTTGCCGTTGCCGTCTCATTCTCGTCATCATCTCATTCTCGTTCTCGTTCTCGTCGTCGTCTCATCATCTTATTTGCTGTTGTTGTTTCCATTGGACTTATGTGTTTTCAGTTTTGTTGCTACCTTCTGTGATTGAGTACATAGCTATATACATTTGTTGTACAAGTCTGTTAGTAGTATTACATGTTCAAAAGCATTGATCATCCTTCCCTATGGTGTGCATCTGAGTGAGGACTGTTAAAGAGCTCATCCATCAACTTTGCACGAGCAGCTTGACCAGGAGTGCCATCATATGTCCTGTCACCAACTACTTCTTCACCTTCTGGACCCTCAATCTCTTGATCAATGAAATCTTCCCCCTCCGTGCGAGCCCACTTTAGAGAGCTCTCGTATGTTCCGTCCTCCTTGCGATGCTCGATTTCAAAGCGAATGATCATGTTGTGCAGGATGATGCAACACTTGATCCACTGCACAGCAAACTCGAGGTCTTTCTCAGCCTGAATTCTGAACCGTAGCTCTCGAAGGGACTGGAACCGTCCCTTCAAAACAGCAAATGTGTGTTCAACACGAACACGAATCTACATAAATAAAAATCAATTGAAAAGCACTAAAAAAAAAACATACCTTAGAGAGGTGATAATTGAATGTCTTCTGGTCCCTTGTCAGCCGTCCGTTGCGAGGCCTCTTGAAAGGGGCGATACACCATGGTTCCAATGGGTAAGCGCTGTCTGCCCAAACCCAATGACCATCAGGCAGAAGATCAGCGTGCTCGTCATAGAGGCGAGTGGATCGAAAAGCGAATGCATCATGGACACTCCCGGGATGACCAAGAGAGTAATCAACAATCAGGAGGTTATGGGGCAGGATGACTGCCTAGAATTAAATTAATTTTTGCACATGAAGACGAAGAACAAAAATGTTACCTGACAGCCAAGGGAATAATTGGACTTCCTATCATAAAATGTCTCACCGTAATAACCAGGTTTCGTGAACAGATTCATAGTCGAACCATCGATGGCTAGAAAGCCACCTTTCCACTCTGGACAAGTACGTGACTCGGCAAATTTGCGAGCCAGGTCAGCGTCCTCAGAATTACCTGCTGGGAAGCAGATAAACTGATCATGGGCATCAAGCACCGCAATCATCACACGATTAGTGCAATTAACTACGGACCCGACACTCACGCCTGCCCATTGAGCGACATCCTCGAGAGAAATGGAATTGCCATAGTGGCCTGCCCGATTCAGAAAGATGGCGAGCTGGATGGAGACAGGGAGCTGAGGATTGTTGGACTGGTTCTGGAAGATAGGGTGATTAGATATATGATCGAGGATGTCATCGAAGATCTCCGGGTTGACACGAAGTTTCTGCCGAAACAAGTGAGGGCGGTGTTCCTCGTGGTGAACCAGCATGTGGAGTTGAGATGCTCGTGGAGGAGGCTCGTCAGGCTTGTGGAGTACACGAGCCCTCATAACCTCATCACGAAGAGCATTGATGGTGTCTTGGAGCCTGTCGTAAGGCAAAGCGACATCATCAGAAGATACAGAACTGGTATCAGAAGAATCTGAAGTCGCTGAAGTCGCTGTGATAGGGGAGTCGGGGGACATGGGGGAAGGAGATCTTAAAGACAGACTGATTGAAACATCATCGTCTGAAGGAGTAGTAGAAAGCGAGTCCTCGGAGCTGGAATCGCTCTCAAAGTCTGACCAGTCCTCTAGGATATCCTGGTATCGTAACCTGGCCAAAGAAAGTTCGGCCTGATCCACGGTATTCAGGAGCTCTTTACGAGTGGATGGACGAGGCATAGTTATGGTGGGGGGCTATGGTGCGTGTGGGATCAAAACTCCTATCTGCGTGTATATGTGACGCAGTTTTCAGCGGAGTTTGAAATCTCGGAAAGTTCCGAGGCTTCGTCTTGCACTGAGCACGCCGTTGTCGTTGTCGTTGTCGACCTCACCCTACGAACCTCGATGCCCATCCACAGCGCTGAGAAGGCCACCATCAAATTTTCGGGTGCCATCCACCCAAGGTAAGTCATTTTTGTGTGTAGTTAACTAACATTTACTTTTATTTGATAGGAAATCTATTATAATCCGGATCCCACACAGATCCCACCTGACCAGCGGCGCCTCG